TGACATGTGTCAACTATCAGATCATCTTGTGTCAGTGACTCAGCCTCAACAACTGTCACAACATGTAAGTACTCTACCATAACAGGTGTCAACTGTCAGATCATCTTGTGTCAGTGACTCAGTTTCAACAACTGTCACAACACGTAAGTACTCCGCCATAACATGTGTCAATTGTCAGATCATCTTGTGTCAGTGACTCAGTTTCAACAACTGTCACAACACGTAAGTACTCCACCATAACATGTGTCAATTGTCAGATCATCTTGTGTCAGTGACTCAGTTTCAACAACTGTCACAACACGTAAGTACTCCACCATAACATGTGTCAATTGTCAGATCATCTTGTGTCAGTGACTCAGTTTCAACAACTGTCACAACACGTAAGTACTCCACCATAACATGTGTCAATTGTCAGATCATCTTGTGTCAGTGACTCAGTTTCAACAACTGTCACAACACGTAAGTACTCCACCATAACATGTGTCAATTGTCAGATCATCTTGTGTCAGTGACTCAGTTTCAACAACTGTCACAACACGTAAGTACTCCACCATAACATGTGTCAATTGTCAGATCATCTTGTGTCAGTGACTCAGTTTCAACATCTGTCACAACATGTAAGTACTCCACCATAACATGTGTCAATTGTCAGATCATCTTGTGTCAGTGACTCAGTTTCAACAACTGTCACAACACGTAAGTACTCTACCATAACATGTGTCAATTGTCAGATCATCTTGTGTCAGTGACTCAGTTTCAACATCTGTCACAACATGTAAGTACTCTACAATGACATGTGTCAACTGTCAGACCATCTTGTGTCAGTGACTCAGGGAATAGTTAACTTCAAATGAATTTATTTATCTAACGAGTTTTACGTCCACTATTACGGCCTTTCGGAGGACGAGCTCAAATGTATCAAATCATCACGTTATACATATGAACGTAAACGAACTGAGAGACAGAAAAAGGTGGTTTTGAAGGAACTTTGTTTAATTCAATTTACTCTAACTTACCTATTTACCTAGATGTAATCAGATTAATATCACCTTCATGGAAAAAAGCTCTTAAACAAGACAACCGTTATATTTTCAGTATTTCAACATTTGGTTTATTGAAATATCTTATGGGAATTATCAAAGAGAAGATTAAGAGAGTCATCTGGATATACCATAGTGTGTCTGTATAAAATAGGGACAAGGGGGCTCATAGGCTCTTGCGCATATATTACCAGGTTTTAAACAATAATATAGCCAAAAAGACAGAACATTACTACCACCTATTAAAATAACAGACAAAAAATCACAGACAAAGGTGATCTGAACAGCCCACAAATTACAGACAAAGGTGGTTTGAACATAACACAAATCACAGACAGAGCTGATCTGAACAGAACACAAATCACAGACAAAGCTGATCTGAACAGAACACAAATCACAGACAGAGCTGATCTGAACAGAACACAAATCACAGACAAAGCTTATCTGAACAGACCACAAATCACAGAGAAAGGTGATCTGAACAGACCACAAATCACAGACAAAGGTGTTTTGAACAGACCACAAATCACAGACAAAGCTGATCTGAACAGACCACAAATCACAGACAAAGGTGATCCGAACAGACCACAAATCACAGACAAAGGTGATCCGAACAGACCACAAATCACAGACAAAGGTGGTTTGAACAGACCACAAATCACAGACAAAGGTGGTTTGAACAGACCACAAATCACAGACAAAGGTGATCTGAACAGACCACAAATCACAGACAAAGCTGATCTGAACAGACCACAAATCACAGACAAAGCTGATCTGAACAGACCACAAATCACAGACAAAGGTGGTTTGAACAGACCACAAATCACAGACAAAGGTGATCTGAACAGACCACAAATCACAGACAAAGGTGATCTGAACAGACCACAAATCACAGACAAAGGTGATCTGAACAGACCACAAATCACAGACAAAGGTGATCACGTTTGAACAGACCACAAATCACAGACAAAGGTGATCCGAACAGACCACAAATCACAGACAAAGGTGATCTGAACAGACCACAAATCACAGACAAAGCTGGTTTGAACAAACCACAAATCACAAACAAAGGTGGTTTGAACAGACCACAAATCAGTTACCTGTATCATTAAAACAGATGATAATTGATATCACATCCTTATATAGATTATATTATCCGTTTTATATATATAATGAAGTCCATATATAACATTAAATCTGATGACATTTTATGTTACAGCGAAAGCTATCTACAGGGAGAAAGGTCAGAAAATACGACTGAACCTTCCACCATCGAATGCCATCATATATAGCATTAAATGTAATGATAACACATTATTCACGTTTGTTGACGGGAAAATAGATGGTGATAACAACAGAAATGGAGTAAGTGTCAAGAAAACTCCACAAGGTATGGAATTACAAATACAGTCCTTAACTGAACAGCATGCTGGGTATTACTACACCATGATCACAGCTACACGTAACATTCCTGGAGGACAGATGTTGGTAGTTACTGGTGAGTCCTACTTATTTGATACTTGGAGAGTTATTGGTAGTTACTGGTGAGTCCTACTTATTTGATACATGGAGGAGAGTTATTGGTAGTTACTGGTGAGTCCTACTTATTTGATACTGGAGGAGAGTTTGGTAGTTACTGGTGAGCTGATACTTGTGAGTCCTACTTATTTGATTGGAGGAGAGTTATTGGTAGTTACTGGTGAGTCCTACTTATTTGATACATGGAGGAGAGTTATTGGTAGTTACTGGTGAGTCCTACTTATTTGATACATGGAGGAGAGTTATTGGTAGTTACTGGTGAGTCCTACTTATTTGATACATGGAGGAGAGTTATTGGTAGTTACTGGTGAGTCCTACTTATTTGATACATGGAGGAGAGTTATTGGTAGTTACTGGTGAGTCCTACTTATTTGATACATGGAGGAGAGTTATTGGTAGTTACTGGTGAGTCCTACTTATTTGATACATGGAGGAGAGTTATTGGTAGTTACTGGTGAGTCCTACTTATTTGATACATGGAGGAGAGTTATTGGTAGTTACTGGTGAGTCCTACTTATTTGATACTTGTGAGTCCTACTTATTTGATACATGGAGGAGAGTTATTGGTAGTTACTGGTGAGTCCTACTTATTTGATACATGGAGGAGAGTTATTGGTAGTTACTGGTGAGTCCTACTTATTTGATACTTATTTGATTGGAGGAGAGTTATTGGTAGTTACTGGAGGAGAGTTATTTAGTTACTGGAGAGTCCTACTTATTTGATTGGAGGAGAGTTATTGGTAGTTACTGGTGAGTCCTACTTATTTGATACATGGAGGAGAGTTATTGGTAGTTACTGGTGAGTCCTACTTATTTGATACATGGAGGAGAGTTATTGGTAGTTACTGGTGAGTCCTACTTATTTGATACTTGGAGGAGAGTTATTGGTAGTTACTGGTGAGTCCTACTTATTTGATACATGGAGGAGAGTTATTGGTAGTTACTGGTGAGTCCTACTTATTTGATACATGGAGGAGAGTTATTGGTAGTTATTGGTGAGTCCTACTTTTTTATGCTTGGAGGAGAGTTATTGGTAGTTACTGGTGAGTCCTTCTTTATATTGAAATCATTAAACTAAATGAAATCTTTGCTACATATGGACACCATAACAGCAGGTTGTAGATAATTATACATTTTTTCACTGTATTTTCAAAAATTAGTTCATCAATTGCAAATGCATATGCAAATCACACGTTGGAAATATCATGAAATACTTTTCTCTTGCAGTCCTGGAAATCCCCAGTTAGTTGTATAAACCTGATGGCCAAAATTTACCTCTCAAATAATTACAATGACATATCATATCAACTGGTTTCATATTAAACCATTTAGGAATTGTACAGAGATATTTGGACGTAAATTTTATTTTTGTGTGAAAAAAAATGTTTTAAAAATAAATCCGAGCTCTATAACGTCAGTTGTTATTTAGGAATTTTGGTTGGATCTTTTTCTTGTATTTGTGAGAAAAAGAATAAATAAAGATCAAATGATTATTGGCTCCAAGATTATAACTATAGGTTTTGATGCCATTCTAGCTAAGACTGAATTCATTTTCAGATCAGCCCACACAACCAACTATTACAACATCAAGTCAATCTCCAGTTATTGACACCGAAGTCAAACTGTTATGTGCATCAACATCACGAAGTAAGCCTGACAATAATGGACTGATCCAAACATCGTCATGGAAACTTAATGGAAGTGAGATCAACGTTGCCAGATTCTCTATCAATGGCTCAAACCTCATTATCAATCCTGTGAGGTACAAAGACAAGTATAACAGTTATACTTGTGTGGCTCGAGAGAAGAAACCTACAGAGTTTGTCGGAAATGCCTCAGAAGAAAGTGCCCCATTCCTACTAACACCACGCTGTAAGTGTAACAGGTTTGGTGCTATTTATTTCTATCACCTTGGAATCTCCTGTGGTACAATAGGACTGACAAATGTTTGGTCCAAAGACTAACAGCAAAATTTTCTAAAGTATGTGTACTTCTGTAGGAATTACAGGATTTGGTCTAAAGTGGTCGGAAGTAGCTTTGGGTGAAAAAAAATTCATTTAAGTTATCGGTCTCACCCAGAGAAATGCCAATGTAGAAGAAAACCTTCCATATTTTAGTGCAATTAATTTGACCTTCATTTGGTCAAAATCATCCTTAAATGAGGGTCAGACTTTTTGAATGAATGGTAGAAAGTTTCACATGCCGTTCAATTTCCAGAAGGCAAAATCATAAAAACCAGATATCAGAAATACCAACCAGGTATCAGAACAAACAACCAGATATCACAACAAACAACCAGATATCAGAACAAACAACCAGATATCAGAAATACCAACCAGATATCAGAAATAACAACCAGATATCAGAACAAACTACCAGATATCAGAACAAACAACCAGATATCACAACAAACAACCAGATATCAGAACAAACAACCAGATATCAGAAATACCAACCAGATATCACAACAAACAACCAGATATCAGAACAAACTACCAGATATCAGAACAAACTACCAGATATCAGAAATACCAACCAGATATCAGAAATAACAACCAGATATCAGAACAAACAACCAAATATTAGAAATAACAACCAGATATAAGTATTCACAATTAGATAAAAAAAATAACAAACATATATCAGAAATAACATCCAGATGTCAGAAATAGCAACCAGATATCATACTGTGTTTCCCAGCGAATTTCTTGGGCCAGCAAGTTTGCATGACTGACATTGTTTTGTAAATTAAACAAAATCTATAGTAACAGTCAATAGATTAGAAAACAGCCTCATTGTGATATGACAAGACAAATTTTAAAACCTGATCATTATTCCTGTACGTCTAATTACAGGTCGATTCAATATGGAGGATAATTAAGATGAAAGAAGAAAACATAGAGAAATGATGAAACTTTTAAAGACAGAATGAAGACCATATTATTGTAGACATCAAAGTCCTTCTGAAATTTCTACTTTATTGAAAATCTTCATTGTTATTTCTTTTCCAGATGGGCCCCAATTTCTTACAATAGAGGGGACTGAAGGTCGGTCGCCATTGATCAGGGGAGATATATACGGCCCAGTGGTGTGTAGAACTGATTGTAACCCGGATTGTGTATTAGAGTGGAGAAAGGATGGTGCACAATTCATTCCATCTCAAATCACATCTGAAGTAACTCTGACTGACCGGTCACTTCCCAGACAAAGGGAGGTAACTTATACATGTAAAGCACGAGTGTCAACACGCGCAGCTTTTGATGCACCAAGTATTGAAAAGAATATAACAGTTGAAGTTTACTGTAAGTATACAGAATAGGATCAATGTATATATGTCTGTATGTAAAAATCTCCTGATGTCATACCTATGTGTATTGACCTTGTTATATCACCACATACGACAAGATCTACATTCAATATTGATGTCGCTTTCTCTACATCAAACGGTCTGTTTCGAATGTTGTCAGCTTTTCCCTTATTAACAGGCACTTTATTTTGTTATCATTAAGCCTTGTGTTCTGTGAGGGAGATTCGGACGAAATCCTTCACTGACTTAACTCATGGCACCAAGCCTTTTGTTCTGTGAGGGAGATTCAGGCGAAATCCTTCACTGACTTAACTCATGGCACCAAGCCTTTTGTTCTGTGAGGGAGATTCAGGCAAAATCCTTCACTGACTTAACTCATGGCACCAAGCCTTTTGTTCTGTGAGGGAGATTCAGGCGAAATCCTTCACTGACTTAACTCATGGCACCAAGCCTTTTGTTCTGTGAGGGAGATTCAGGCGAAATCCTTCACTGACTTAACTCATGGCACCAAGCCTTTTGTTCTGTGAGGGAGATTCAGGCGAAATCCTTCACTGACTCAATTCATGGCACCAAGCCATTTGTTCTGTGAGGCAGATTCAGGTAAAATCCTTCACTGACTTAACTCATGGCACCAAGCCTTTTGTTCTGTGAGGGAGATTCAGGCGAAATCCTTCACTGACTTAACTCATGGCACCAAGCCTTTTGTTCTGTGAGGGAGATTAGGCGAAAACTGACTTAACTCATGGCACCAAGCCATTTGTTCTGTGAGGCAGATTCAGGTAAAATCCTTCACTGACTTAACTCATGGCACCAAGCCTTTTGTTCTGTGAGGGAGATTCAGGCGAAATCCTTCACTGACTTAACTCATGGCAACAAGCCTTTTGTTCTGTGAGGGAGATTCAGGCGAAATCCTTCACTGACTTAACTCATGGCACCAAGCCTTTTGTTCTGTGAGGGAGATTCAGGCGAAATCCTTCACTGACTTAACTCATGGCACCAAGCCATTTGTTCTGTGAGGCAGATTCAGGTAAAATCCTTCACTGACTTAACTCATGGCATCAAGCCTTTTGTTCTGTGAGGGAGATTCAGGCGAAATCCTTCACTGACTTAACTCATGGCACCAAGCCTTTTGTTCTGTGAGGGAGATTCAAGCGAAATCTCTGGATACAACAGTCTAGAGTAATGCAGGGTAATCTCACACAGGTGAAAATATAGATACAACAATCCAGGGTAAGGCAGCGAAATTCTCACACAGGTAAAAATGTGGATACAACAGTCCAGGGTAAGGCAAGGTAATCTCACACAGGTAAAAATGTGGATACAACAGTCCAGGGTAAGGCAGGATAATCTCACACAGGTAAAAATATAGATACAACAATCCAGGGTAAGGCAGCGAAATTCTCACACAGGTAAAAATGTGGATACAACAGTCCAGGGTAAGGCAAGGTAATCTCACACAGGTAAAAATGTGGATACAGCAGTCCAGGGTAAGGCACGGTAATCTCACACAGGTAAAAATGTTGATACAACAGTCCAGGGTAAGGCAGGGTAATCTCACACAGGTAAAAATGTGGATACAACAGTCCAGGGTAAGGCACGGTAATCTCACACAGGTAAAAATGTTGATACAACAGTCCAGGGTAATGCAGGGTAATCTCACACAGGTAAAAATGTTGATACAACAGTCCAGGGTAAGGCAGGATAATCTCACACAGGTGAAAATGTTGATACAACAGTCCAGGGTAAGGCAGGATAATCTCACACAGGTGAAAATATAGATACAACAATCCAGGGTAAGGCAGCGAAATTCTCACACAGGTAAAAATGTTGATACAACAGTCCAGGGTAAGGCAGGATAATCTCACACAGGTGAAAATATAGATACAACAATCCAGGGTAAGGCAGCGAAATTCTCACACAGGTAAAAATGTTGATACAACAGTCCAGGGTAAGGCAAGGTAATCTCACACAGGTAAAAATGTGGATACAACAGTCCAGGGTAAGGCAAGGTAATCTCACACAGGTAAAAATGTGGATACAACAGTCCAGGGTAAGGCAGGGTAATCTCACACAGGTAAAAATGTGGATACAACAGTCCAGGGTAAGGCAGGTAATCTCACACAGGTAAAAATATATGTACAGCAGTCCAGGGTAAGGCAAGGTAATCTCACACGGGTAAAAATGTTGATACAACAGTCCAGGGTAAGGCAAGGTAATCTCACACGGGTAAAAATGTGGATACAACAGTCCAGGGTAAGGCAGGGTAATCTCACACAGGTAAAAATGTGGATACAACAGTCCAGGGTAAGGCAGGGTAATCTCACACAGGTAAAAATGTTGATACAACAGTCCAGGGTAAGGCAAGGTAATCTCACACAGGTAAAAATGTGGATACAACAGTCCAGGGTAAGGCAGGGTAATCTCACACAGGTAAAAATGTGGATACAACAGTCCAGGGTAAGGCAGGGTAATCTCACACAGGTAATATGTCAGTTAACTATATAAATACAGCTATTATGCAATCTTTAATATTGATATGTTTGCTGTATTTTGTATAGAGTCATTATTTTTTTTAGACAATCCCATGATCACAGAAACAGAGTACCAAGATGATACTGGCACATATGAAGTAATCGACAGAAAAGACGTGAGATACAGAGAAGGATCGAGTTTGATCTTAAGAGTCAAAGTTTCTAGCAACCCGAAATCAGATGTTAAACTGTCACGTAACCAGAGAAACGTCACTGTTGGTAGTCTCACTTCACCTCCAGGAACTTATCATATCAGATTAAATGATCTTCAGTGTAGCCACACAGGGTCATACAACATCAGCGCAATCAACTTCGTTACTCGAAATAGAAGTAATGTTATTCCCTCAGTGAAGTCATTCCAACTTCAAGTCATATGTAAGTCTGTCAGCAGAGGGATGATACAGATCTGTAGGATCAGAGGGATGATACAGTATATCTGTAGGATATCAGAGGGACGATACAGTATATCTGTAGGATATCAGAGGGACGATACAGTATATCTGTAGGATATCAGAGGGACGATACAGTATATCTGTAGGATATCAGAGGGATGATACAGTATATCTGTAGGATATCAGAGGGATGATACAGTATATCTGTAGGATATCAGAGGGATGATACGGTATACCTGTAGGATATCAGAGGGACGATACAGTATATCTGTAGGATATCAGAGGGACGATACGGTATATCTGTAGGATATCAGAGGGATGATACAATATATCTGTAGGGTAGCAGAGGGATGATACAGTTTATCTGTAGGATATCAGAGGGATGATACAATATATCTGTAGGGTAGCAGAGGGATGATACAGTATATCTGTAGGACATCAGAGGGATGATACAATATATCTGTAGGGTAGCAGAGGGATGATACAGTATATCTGTAGGATATCAGAGGGATGATACAGTGTATCTGTAGGGTATCAGAGGGATGATACAGTATCTCTGTAGGGTATCATAGGGATTATACAGTATATCTGTAGGATATCAGAGGGATGATACAGTATATCTGTAGGACATCAGAGGGATGATACAGTATATCTGTAGGGTATCAGAGGGATGATACAGTATATCTGTAGGATATCAGAGGGATGATACAGTATACCTGTAGGACATCAGAGGGATGATACAGTATATCTGTAGGGTATCAGAGGGATGATACAGTATATCTGTAGCACATCAGAGGGACGATACAGTATATCTGTAGGATATCAAAGGGATGATACAGTATATCTGTAGCACATCAGAGGGACGATACAGTATATCTGTAGGGTATCATAGGGATTATACAGTATATCTGTAGGACATCAAAGGGACGATACAGTATATCTGAAGGGTATCAGAGGGATGATACAGTATACCTGTAGGGTATCAGAGGGATGATACAGTATACCTGTAGGGTTTCAGAGGGATGATACAGTATACCTGTAGGATATCAGAGGGATGATACAGTATATCTGTAGGGTATCAGAGGAATGATACAGTATATCTGTAGGATATCAGAGGGATGATACAGTATATCTGTAGGACATCAGAGAACCGAAACAGTATACCTGTAGGGTATCAGAGGGATGATACAGTATATCTGTAGGACATATGATGGGTTATGCTATATATTGATATATGGAAACCCATTAAAAGTTTATTTTCTAATGAAAATTTCTAGTTGTGACCTTTTGTATACCACTGTTAATATCAATGATATAAAGTTGTCAGTGTTAATGGCGTGCTTTTTGTTCACTTCTGAAACTGTTCACACGTTTTCAAACACATAAGCGGCGATAAGCAGATTTCGTGTGATAAGCCCATGACACGTGACAGTATAAATACCTGCCTGATCTTTTGACCTTTAACCTCCCCGAACTTTTGTTTAGTTTCTGAGTTAAGTTTACAGTTTTACAGATAAAATAAAATCATGGTCGTGTTTTTTCTAGGTGCCCCACGCAGACAAGGTACATCCAATAGCGTAATTGAAGTGGCCGGGAAAAAGGGACAGAAACTTGGAGTTAACGTCACCGTGATTGCAAACCCAAAGCCCTCTGGTCACTGGTCTGTCGGAGTGAAGCCACTTCCTGTCATTACAAACAACGACTATACGTACACTATCAGGGGTGAAGTCAAAGTCAACACATCAGAAGATTTTAGTGACTACCATGTTAACATCACTAACAATGCACAGTCGGGGTCCGTTCTGACAGTGAAGTTTAATATCCGTCCTGAAGGTGAAATATTTATAAAAATATAAATAATAAAATACAAGTTTATGCTAATTCAAGTGAAAGTATAAGAGAAGTGGTTTGATTGTATCAATATTCTATAATGTCATGTTTTGTCACTTTTATAATGTCAGCTGTAGTCCCCCTATAATGTCAGCTACAGTCCCCCTATAATGTCAGCTACAGTCCCCCTATAATGTCAGCTACAGTCCCCCTATAATGTCAGCTGTAGTCCATATCTATAATGTCAGCTGTAGTCCATATCTATAATGTCAACTGTAGTCCATATCTATAATGTCAGCTATAGTCCACTTATAATGTCAGCTGTAGTCCCCTTATAATGTCAGCTATAGTCCCCCTATAATGTCAGCTGTAGTCCACCTATAATGTCAGCTATAGTCCCCCTATAATGTCAGCTGTAGTCCACCTATAATGTCAGCTATAGTCCCCCTATAATGTCAGCTGTAGTCCCCCTATAATGTCAGCTCTAGTCCCCCTATAATGTCAGCTGTAGTCCATATCTATAATGTCAGCTGTAGTCCCCCTATAATGTCAGCTATAGTCCCCCTATAATGTCAGCTGTAGTCCCCCTATAATGTCAGCTACAGTCCCCCTATAATGTCAGCTACAGTCCCCCTATAATGTCAGCTGTAGTCCTCCTATAATGTCAGCTGTAGTCCATATCTATAATGTCAGCTACAGTCCCCCTATAATGTCAGCTACAGTTCCCCTATAATGTCAGATGTAGTCCCCCTATAATGTCAGCTACAGTCCCCCTATAATGTCAGCTACAGTCCTCCTATAATGTCAGCTGTAGTCCACCTATAATGTCAGCTGTAGTCCCCCTATAATGTCAGCTACAGTCCCCCTATAATGTCAGCTATAGTCCACCTATAATGTCAGCTGTAGTCACCCTATAATGTCAGCTGTAGTCACCCTATAATGTCAGCTATAGTCCCCCTATAATGTCAGATACAGTCCCCCTATAATGTCAGCTATAGTCCCCCTATAATGTCAGCTACAGTCCCCCTATAATGTCAGCTGTAGTCCCCCTATAATGTCAGCTATAGTCCCCCTATAATGTCAGCTGTAATCCTCCTATAATGTCAGCTACAGTCCCCCTATAATGTCAGCTACATTCACCCTATAATGTCAGCTACGGTCCCCCTATAATGTCAGCTGTAGTCCATATCTATAATGTCAGCTGTAGTCCCCCTATAATGTCAGCTGTAGTCCCCCTATAATGTCAGCTACAGTCCCCCTATAATGTCAGCTGAAGTCCCCCTATAATGTCAGCTACAGTCCCCCTATAATGTCAGCCAAGTCCACCTTTAATGTCAGCTATAGTCCATATCTATAATGTCAGCTGTAGTCCCCCTATAATGTCAGCTACAGTCCCCCTATAATGTCAGCTATAGTCCCCCTATAATGTCAGCTGTAGTCCACCTATAATGTCAGCTGTAGTCCACCTATAATGTCAGCTATAGTCCCCCTATAATGTCAGCTATAGTCCTCCTATAATGTCAGCTATAGTCCCCCTATAATGTCAGCTATAGTCCCCCTATAATGTCAGCTGTAGTCCATATCTATAATGTCAGCTGTAGTCCATATCTATAATGTCAGCTGTAGTCCATATCTATAATGTCAGCTACAGTCCTCCTATAATGTCAGCTACAGTCCCCCTATAATGTCAGCTACAGTCCCCCTATAATGTCAGCTACAGTCAGCTGTTGCCCTTCACCCTATATATCAACTGTTGTCCCCTCCCCTCTATATGTCAGCTGTTGCCCCCTCCCCCTAAATATCAGCTGTTGCCCCCTCCCACTATATATCAGCTATTGCACCCTCCCCTATACATCACCTGTTGCCCCCTCCCCTCTATATGTCAGCTGTTGCCCCCTCCCACTATATATCAGCTATTGCACCCTCCCCTATACATCACCTGTTGCCCCCTCCCCTCTATATGTCAGCTGTTGCCCCCTTCCCCCTATATATCACCTGTTGCCCCATCGCCCTATATATCAGCTGTTTCCCCCCTCCCCCTATATATCACCTGTTGCCCCATCACCCTATATATCAGCTGTTGTCCCTCCCCTATATATCAGCTGTTGTCCCTCCCCTATATATCAGCAGTTGCCCCTTCCCTATATATCAACTGTTGCCCTCTATATATCAGCTGTTGCCCCCTCCCCTATATGTCAGCTGTTGCCCTCTATTTATCAGCTGTTGCCCCCTCCCCTATATACCAGCTGTTGCCCCGTCCTCCTATATATCAGCTGTTGCCCTCTCCTCCTATATATCAGCTGTTGCCCTTCACCCTATATATCACCTGTTGTCCTCTCCCCTCTATATGTCAGCTGTTGCCCCCTTTCCTATATATCAGCTGTTGTCCCTCCCCTATATATCAGCTGTTGTCCCTCCCCTATATATCAGCTGTTGCCTCCTCCCCTATATATGTCAGCTGTTGCCCCCCTCCACCAAAAGTCAGCTGTTGCCCTCTCCCCGATATATCAGCTGTTGCCTATCCCCCCTGTTTGTCAGCTGTTGCCCCCTTCCCTATATGTCAGCTGTTGCCCCCTATATATCAGCTGTTGTCCCTCCCCTATATATCAGCTGTTGCCCCCTATGTATCAGCTGTTGTCCCTCCCCTATATATCAGCTGTTGCCTCCTCCCCTATATATGTCAGCTGTTGCCCCCCTCCACCAAAAGTCAGCTGTTTCCCCCTCCCCCTATATATCAGCTGTTGCCTCCTCCCCCTATATATCAGCTGTTGGCCCCCTCCTCCTTTATGTCAGTTGTTGCCCCCTCCCCCTATATGTCAGCTGTTGCCCCTCCTCCTATATATCAGCTGTTACCCCCTCCCCCTATATATCAGCTGTTGGCCCCTCCTCCTATATATCAGCTGTTGTCCCAATCTTCCTATATATCTGCTGTTGCCCTCCCACCTTATATACCAGCTGTTGCCCCTCCTCCTATATATCAGCTAATGCCCCCCTCCCCCTATATATCAGTTGTTGCCCCCTCCCCTATATACCAGCTGTTAACCTCTCCCCCATATATCAGTTGTTTCCCCTCCCCCATATTTCAGCTGTTGCCCCCTCCCCCTATATATCAGCTGTTGCTCCCCTCCCCCATATTTCAGCTGTTGCCCCCTCCCCCTATATATCAGCTGTTGCCCCCTCCCCCCATATATCAGCTGTTGCTCCCCTCCCCCATATTTCAGCTGTTGCCCCCCTCCCCCATATGTCAGCTGTTGCCCCCCCTCCCCCCATATATCAGCTGTTGCCCCCTCCCCCCATATATCAGCTGTTGCCCCCTCCCCCAATATATCAGCTGTTGCCCCCCTCCCCCAATATATCAGCTGTTGCCCCCCTCCCCCATATATCAGCTGTTGCCCCCCTCCCCCCATATATCAGCTGTTGCCCCCCTCCCCCATATATCAGCTTTTGCCCCATCCCCCTATATATCAGCTGTTGCCCCCCTCCCCTATATGTCAGCTGTTGCCCCCTCCCCCTATATATCAGCTGTTGCCCCCTCCCCCATATATCAGCTGTTGCCCCCCTCCCCCTATGTGTCAGCTGTTGCCCCCTCCCCATATATCAGCTGTTGCCCCCTCCCCCTTAATATCATTTGCTCCTTTCTCTTTACAATGTATTTTTGTTACAGATGTGCCGGATAAACCAACTGAATTTCATGCGTCTGAAGTTGGCATCAATGACGTTAAAGTGACGTGGATTTCTGGATTTGATGGTGGAAATCCCCAACAGTTCCACATAGACATTATGGCAGATGGAAAAGATTGGATGGTTGATACCCTGAACATCTCAGACGAAGGCCAGGGGGCACTGATGGTTCACAAACTTAAGGATCTCAACCCTTCTTCTGACTACATCATCAGATTAAATGTTTCCAACAAAATTGGAAAAGGAAATTCCTCAGAGATACGGGTCCGAACTATGGGTGAGTTTGCCTGTATCCTGCTGACCCGTCCTTAATACACAGGGTGTAGAAAAGTTGTGTGACTGCAATCATACACCACTGTTTAAAAGCTACCAGTTTTTCCTGATTAAACTGTTTCATACCTTTAGGGATTCTCAGCAGACTTCAAGCACATAATAAACATCCAATTATCTTAAACAAGTTTGAATTTCAGGGTTGCTGGGTCAAGGTCAAGATCATTTTTTACTCTGTCAGAAAACCATAAGGATTGTCACTGTTCTAGCAGCTTCGTTCCTGTAAGGATCCTCGTCCTACTTCACACACTTATCCAACATCAAATTATCTTATTCAAGTTGCTAAGCTGTTGGATCAGAGTCACTATTACTATTTTTGAAAATCATTATCACTACACTAAAGGCTTCATTCAATAAATAATTTTGATTAAACTTCACACACTTACACTGGTTATGAAACTGTATTGTCAGATTGTCATACCTATTTATTTGCATTGTTCCATTAAAATCAGTTACAAACTAATTGTATACATTTTTTCTAAATTGGCATTAACAAATCATGTTATCATTGATATTAAACCGGAAGTTGTTGTTCAATGAAATCTAAAATGGACCGTGGTCAACGAATGAGGCTTTATGTATAACAATGATCAAGCAGAATTTGGTTATTATTGAAATATTTATTGTCAGTATACATGGGATATGGGTTCATATACTAGATTCATATGGCACCTGGAATATTATACTTAACCTGAAACTATTTAGAGTAGAATTGGTTAAAAGTTAAGAAGTCTTGTGTTGACAACCTGTACTGAATGTGGTTACATTATGCTGTCCTTGTGATTAAGTACTCTACATAGACAGTTTTTACTCTAACAGTCCTAACAAAAAAAATGATGTTCCTATCAGCAGTGAGTGCATGGCTCATTTTATTTTTGAAATTTGAGGGTATGTACTGTAGGCCCTGTTTGGTCTCCTTACATTATTCAGTCCTAAAATTCAGCAAAAAGGCAAAATGACTGAAAATCTTTGATCAAACATGTTAAGGTATTTTAATACAAATAACCATGACCCATATTCATGTATATTTACAATCTTGACCCATATTTGTAGGTTTACAACTTTGACCCACAATTGTGTATTTACAATCTTAAACCATATTTGTATATTTACAATCTTGACCCATGTTTATATATTTACAACCTTGGCCCATATTTGTATATTTACAATCTTGACCCATATTTATGTATCAACAATCTTGACCCATATTTGTGTATCAACAACCTTGACCCATATTTATGTATCAACAATCTTGACCCATATTTATGTATCTACAATCTTGACCCATATTTGTGTATTTACAATCTTGACCCATATTTATGTATTTACAATTTTGACCTATATTTATGTATCTACAATCTTGACCCATATTTATGTATTTACAATCTTGACCCATATTTGTGTATTTGCAATCTTGACTCATATTTGTGTATTTACAATCTTGACCCACATTTGTGTATTTACCATCTTGACCCACATTTGTGTATTTACAATCTTGACCCATATTTGTATATTTACAATCTTGACCTATATTTATGTATCTACAATCTTGACCCATATTTGTGTATTGACAATCTTGACCCATATTTGTGTATTTACAATCTTAACCCATATTTGTGAATCTACAATCTTGACCCATATTTATGTATTTACAATCTTGACCCATATTTGTGTATTTACAATCTTGACCCATATTTGTGTATTTACAATCTTGACTCATATTTGTGTATTTACAATCTTGACCCATATTTGTGTATTTACAATCTTGACTCATATTTGTGTATTTACAATCTTGACCCACATTTGTGTATTTAAAATCTTGACTCATATTTGTGTATTTACAATCTTGACCCATATTTGTGTATTTACAATCTTGACCCATATTTATGTATTTACAATCTTGACCCATATTTATGTATTTACAATCTTGACCCATATTTATGTATCTACAATCTTGACCCATATTTATGTATTTACAATTTTGACCCACATTTGTGTATTTACAATCTTGACTCATATTTGTGTATTTACAATCTTGACCCATATTTGTGTATTTACAATCTTGATCCATATTTATGTATCAACAATCTTGACCCATATTTATGTATCTACAATCTTGACCCATATTTGTGTGTTCCCAATACTTTGACCCATATTGAGATGTTTCTTGACCCAGACTTTTTTAACTCCTTTGTATATTCTAGAGGAACCAGAACAACCTAGCGCCCAGTCCACATTGACAATCATCATTATTGTTGTAATAGTTGTCCTTCTTGTCGTCATTGTTGCTATCATCGGCGTTTTGGTCATGAAGCAAAGACGAAATCAACAAGGTAAGTCATTCAGTGAGTCTGGTTTATCCTATTTAGACATTTCAGATAATCTCTACAGATTTGTGAGGCTTTATTCAGTATTCAATTATGAAGATGAAGTGCTATCCATTTTACTCTAATTACCTTACAGGGCTTCCATATATAAATATATAATATAGATATATAAGTATTGCAAGGAAATTATCTAATGTTGTTTCCTCAGGAAAATATTGTTAAAAATATACAATGTATCGGACGCCGTTATGAAACACAAAATTTGTTTGATGCTGAACTATGTTAACAGAATGTAGACTGTAGAACATCAAGTGATATGTATGTCCCTATATGTGGGAATGAACAGACATCTTTCCAGAATCATAATAACATATCGTACAAAATCAATCTACATACACAATGTTTTCCCAATAATATTCCTTTCTGATAAGTTTCTGGTTGTTTTTCTTCACTAGCTGGTGGCACTGCTAAAGTGGTTACCACAGATGATAACAATGAATATGCTGTAGTGTGTAAACCATCCAAAGGTTTGTATCATAAACCAGAATATAAGACTAGTTATAGCAAAACCACAATGAAACTCCCTGTACCATGTTTCTCTGTACCTGGTTTATAAGCAATGGTCAAAATATCTACTGACATCGCATTCAAAGTGAAATAAAAATCCCTTCATTTTAGGCATGATTTTGAAAAAATCCCTTTGTGTAAGTGGTCACGATTATGAAAAAAAAAATCCTTTGTGTCAGTAGCCATGATGTTGAAAACAAAATCACTTTGTGTGAGTGGTCATGATTTTGAAAACAAAATCCCTTTGTGTCAGTCATGATTTTGAAAACAAAATCCCTTTGTGTCAGTCATGATTTTGAAAACAAAATCCCTTTGTGTCAGTCATGATGTTGAAAACAAAATCCCTTTGTGTCAGTCATGATTTTGAAAACAAAATCCCTTTGTGTCAGTCATGATGTTGAAAACAAAATCCCTTTGTGTCAGTCATGATGTTGAAAACAAAATCCTTTTGTGTCAGTCATAATGTTGAAAACAAAATCCTTTTGTGTCAGTCATGATGTTGAAAACAAAATCCCTTTGTGTCAGTCATGATGTTGAAAACAAAATCCTTTTGTGTCAGTCATGATGTTGAAAACAAAATCCCTTTGTGTCAGTCATGATGTTGAAAACAAAATCCTTTTGTGTCAGTCATAATGTTGAAAACAAAATCCTTTTGTGTCAGTCATGATGTTGAAAACAAAATCCTTGTATGTCAGTCATGATGCTGAAAACAAAATGCTCTAGTGTCGATTGAGGTTCAGGCCTTTCATGTCTTTAATTAATGGTTCAGCTAAACAAGTATTTTGTACCCAATTCTTTTCTGTTTACAACCTACAGCTCATAATTATGTTTCTGTAGTTTACACTTAGTAATTTTGTCCACTAGGTGGGGCTACAAAGAATAAAGAGGTCACAACTGATAGCGAGTATGCCATGGTCATGAAACCAAAAAAAGGTTGGTGTCAATATAGTATTCCATAATACCTATCATACATCCAACAGCTTGGTTAGTTAGGTCTACATTACCCCAGATAAAGATCTAAGGTGCTGTCATGTCCCCTATACAGATCTAAGTTACATTGTCATGTCCCCTATACAGATCTAAGTTACATTGTCATGTCCCCTATACAGATCTAAGTTACATTGTCATGTCCCCTATAAAGATCTTAGTTACATTGTCATGTCCCCTATACAGATCTTAGTTACATTGTCATGTCCCCTATAAAGATCTTAGTTACATTGTCATGTCCCCTATAAAGATCTTAGTTACATTGTCATGTCCCCTATAAAGATCTTAGTTACATTGTCATGTCCCCTATACAGATCTAAGTTACATTGTCATGTCCCCTGTAAAGATCTTAGTTACATTGTCATGTCCCCTATAAAGATCTTAGTTACATTGTCATGTCCCCTGTAAAGATCTTAGTTACATTGTCATGTCCCCTATACAGATCTTAGTTACATTGTCATGTCCCCTGTAAAGATCTTAGTTACATTGTCATGTCCCCTGTAAAGATCTTAGTTACATTGTCATGTCCCCTATAAAGATCTTAGTTACATTGTCATGTCCCCTATAAAGATCTAAGTTACATTGTCATGTCCCCTATAAAGATCTAAGTTACATTGTCATGTCCCCTATAAAGATCTAAGTTACATTGCCATGTCCCCTATACAGATCTTAGTTACATTGTCATGTCCCCTATAAAGATCTAAGTTACATTGTCATGTCCCCTATAAAGATCTAAGTTACATTGTCATGTCCCCTATAAAGATCTAAATTACATTGCCATGTCCCCTATACAGATCTTAGTTACATTGTCATGTCCCCTATACAGATCTTAGTTACATTGTCATGTCCCCTATACAGATCTAAGTTACATTGTCATGTCCCCTATACAGATCTTAGTTACATTCATGTCCCCTATACAGATCTTAGTTACATTGTCATGTCCCTTATAAAGATCTAAGTTACATTGTCTTGTCCCCTATATAGATCTAAGTTACATTGTCATGTCCCCTATAAAGATCTTAGTTACATTGCCATGTCCCCTATACAGATCTTAGTTACATTGTCATGTCCCCTATAAAGATCTAAGTTACATTGTCATGTCCCCTATAAAGATCTAAGTTACATTGTCATGTCCCCTATACAGATCTTAGTTACATTGTCATGTCCCCTATACAGATCTTAGTTACATTGTCATGTCCCCTATACAGATCTAAGTTACATTGTCATGTCCCCTATACAGATCTTAGTTACATTGTCATGTCCCCTATACAGATCTTAGTTACATTGTCATGTCCCTTATAAAGATCTAAGTTACATTGTCTTGTCCCCTATATAGATCTAAGTTACATTGTCATGTCCCCTGTAAAGATCTTAGTTGTGTAATGTGTTGTGCCCTATGAAGATCTAAGGAGCAGCTGTTTTTTTATGTGAGTAAATCAATTTTTAGTCTATGTCCGATAGAAAGTATACTTTAACACTTGATTTTTATTCAATTGTTTCAAGTTATCTTTCTTGTAATTTTTCTTGACCACCAGGTGGAGCTGAAAAGAATAAAGAGGTTACTACTGATAGCGAATATGCTGAGGTCTCGAAACCTAAGAAAGGTTGGTGGCAATGTAGTACCCCATATTACTCCTATACTTAAGATTACATAAGAGACTACATTACCTCAGTGAAGACCCAAAGTGATTTTAATCAACTCGTGTCAGTTTAAAATTGTGTTTCTCAGGAAAATTGAAGCAGACCAGACTATGTTTGTGTCACCTTGGACACTTAACCCTAATTGCTCTGGAAAGCATGCAACAGGCCTCCAGCATGGTGTTCAGTGAGGCAGTATCAGCTGTGTTCGTGGACATTCTGTAAAAACCAGGAAAACAGGTCTCTCGTACAATATATTTCATAACTAAAGAAAATTGGTTTTGAGTCCAATCAAAATATCCAGCATGCCAGTAATTTGGAATACTATATCCAGGTCTTGGCTCATTTTTAGGAGATTAAATGCCTGTAAACTGTTTTTATTAGTTTTGACTATATTTTTTATCAGATATGAAAATCTAACTATTTCAACTCCTTAAAGAGAAATGGTCTATATGTACTGCCAAGTGGAGTTTTACTGCCCAAACAAGGGATTCCTTTATTTCTATCAATTAGAGTGAATTCTATTAGAGAAGAATACAGTATGAATTTAAAGTTTTTTGTGACATGCTACAAATAAGTAGTTTACTTTTGTGACCTATGGAAGGTTGTCATTAACAGGGAAAAAATTAAACTCTCACAAACATTGTGAATGTTGTTAGTTTGTTTGTTAAAATTCAATATTTATAATCTCTGTTTCTTGTGAAACACAAATAGTAATTTTTGTTAATAACAACATAACAACATGATGAAGTATCTGATGCTGTGCTGACTCTGCTAATGTTCTTTAAGTCATTCTCACTGTTATTATGTTAAACTTGGTGCAGTGGATAGTCCTGCAGATGTTTTGTATGTCAATCAACTCATTCTTAATCTGTGAATTTCTTGTGAAACAGCACTTTTAAACATTGTAAATACGTGGGCTAAAAACATTGATGAAGGTCTTTTAACTGGTGTAATATTTTTAGATTTTAAAAAAGCTTTTGACCTTGTAAATCACAATGTTATTATTGATAAGTTAAGGTTATATAAATGTGATCCCAATACAGTGTGTTGGTTTACCTCTTACCTCACAGATCGATCACAGAAAGCATGTATTGCAGGAAGTTTATCAGAGGCAATGAACATAACACATGGTGTACCTCAGGGATCAATACTAGGTCCTCTGATGTTTTTAATTTTTATTAATGACTTACCCTTGTGTATGAAATCCCAAACTGATATGTATGCAGATGACTCTAGTTTAACTTCATCTGGTGTCTCTATAGAAAGTGTTCAATTACAACTTCAGCATGATTTATGTCACGTTGAGACTTGGTGCAACGAAAATAAAATGATTGTGATTGCAAGTAAGACCAAATGCATGTTAATTACTTCAAAACAAAAAATATCACGAAATGATTATTCTTTAAACCTATATATGGAGGATGTTCTTTTAGAGCAGGTTTGCCAAGAAAACTTTTTGGTTGTAAATATAGATGAGTGTTTGTCCTTCCATGGACATATTTCGTCCATTGTTACCAAAATTAGACAGCGCTTAGGATTGCTGCGTAGAATTCGTAAATATCTCCCAATTAGTGGGAGACTAAAGTTTTATAACTCATGCGTATTTCCAAATTTCATTTATTGTAGCAAAGTTTGGTCAGGGTGCACAGCTAAGTTGATCAATCAGTTATCAATGGCTCAAAAGCAAGCGGCCAGAACTATTCTGGAGGCTCCATATGACACCCCTTCTAAGGATATGTTTTTAACTTTAAATTGGATGCCTATTGAGACATATCTAAAATTCAGAACGTTATGTATGATTTTGAAATGTCTACATGGAGCTATATCAAAGTACCTATCAGAGAATTTTTGTTTAGTAAGAAATGTCCATTCCAGAAATACTAGGTTTTCAGATGCAAATAACATTAATATTCCGAAACACAGAACAACATTATATTCCAAACAGTTTTTTATCACCGGCATCCAACTTTGGAATGGTCTTTCAGATGAGTTGAAGACCGTAAATACATTTCCCAGTTTTAAGCAAAAGCTTGTCAAATATCTTCATAGCTTTTATACAACTCAGTCTCTTAATTAAGTTACATTTTTTAGTTTATGCTATATTAGCGTATATTAGGTCAATTTTTATTGTTTTGCTATGTTAGCATGTATGTATATTAGGCAATAGCCATTTAACTTGACAAAATAATTTTACATGAAATTTATGCATTCTGTGATAATTTTTAACTAACAAATGCTGTGATATTAATTTGTAATCTTATAATGATCTTATAGTGCTGTATTACTATTTTTATCTTATTATCTGTGCTGTCTTAAGCTAATTTTTGTAACTAATTTTTGTATTTTACTAACAAGAGGACCATGTGGTAGATTAGTATTTGGCTAAACATGTTTTATCCTCAATAAAGAATGTTTATTATTATTATTATGTCCACCAGGTGGAGCTAAAAAGAATAAAGATGCCTCTGCAAATAACAATCACCGTAAGTACAAAGGTGAAGGTCACATTAAAACCACTTCAAGGTGAAGGTCACATTAAAACCACTTCAGGGTGAAGGTCACATTAAAACCACTTCAGGGTGAAGGTCACATTAAAACCACTTCAAGGTGAAGGTCACATTAAAACCACTTCAGGGTGAAGGTCACATTAAAACCACTTCAGGGTAAAGGTCACATTAAAACCACTTCAAGGTGAAGGTCACATTAAAACCACTTCAAGGTGAAGGTCACATTAAAACCACTAAAAGTTAAGGCCACATTAAAACCATCTCAAAGTGAAGGTCGTGTTAAAACCACTTTAATTAAGCTGAATTTAGTGTTTAAATACATACTTATAAGAAGCTCAGAAATATGTGTACCATCAATTAAGTAAAATTGTAAACTACATTTACATATTAGAGCAAAATGACATCCATGAAAAATAAATGAACAGACATTGAAACACAAAGAAGAGCAACATGGGAAAGCTGTAGATTGATACAAGCTTTTCTCTGATCATGGTCTGAATTCTGTAGGCTGAAAGTGTTTGATATTATGTTTTATAGAACCTGAACTGATATATGAGAACACTGGGGCATCATCTGAGGAACCAAAACCAGGGCCATCCAGGGTGAGAACACTGATGTCTTTTATCATAGCATTAAGATGTTTTTTAGTTTGACTATAATTATTGACTAGAACTAGAATTACCCCAGCTAGGTTAGAGTTTTGTAATGCTCTATCATATATAGGTATGTTCTATGATGCTGATACTGGATAAGGGTAGTTTTGGGATGTGTGATGTGAGTACTAGTTTTCCTTTCAATATTTTGCTGTGAGTCATAATTCAATATAGGATGATGTGATTTGCTCTTAGGGTAGTTTCATGTTGTGTAATTAATTTAATAGTGAAAGTGAAATTTCCACATTTATGTTGTATTATTATTATTTGTCCTGATTATGTCATGATATTATTGTGACCTGATTATATCATGATAATACTGTGTCCTGATTATATCATGATATTATTGTGTATGTGTCCTGATTATATCATGATAGTATTGTGTATGTGTCCTGATTATATCATGATAGTATTGTGTCCTGATTACATCATGATAGCATTGTGTCCTGATAATATCATGATATTATTGTGTCCTGATAATATCATGATAGCATTGTGTCCTGATAATATCATGATATTATTGTGTCCTGATTATGTCATATTATTGTGTCCTGATTACATCTTGATAGTATTGTGTATGTGTCCTGATTATATCATGATAGTATTGTGTATGTGTCCTGATTATATCATGATAGTATTGTGTCCTGATAATATCATGATATTATTGTGTCCTGATTATATCATGATAGTATTGTGTCCTGATAATATCATGATATTATTGTGTCCTGATAATATCATGATATTATTGTGTCCTGATTATATCATGATAGCATTGTGTCCTGATTATATCATGATAGTATTGTGTATGTCCTGATCATATATCATATTTTTGCTAAACAGAGGACCAATGAGGACGGACTTATTTACATTGATGTCGAGATCAAACCACAAGCTGGCAAAGGGAAAGGAGTCATTCATGGGGCAAATGACAGAACTGCGTATGCGTTTGTTGACTTTACAAAGACTGCACCAAACCCACTACCTGATGACAAGGAAGAAGGAACATAATTCAACTGTAATGATTATATCCGAGTTGTCTCCCTCATACCTGAGTTAGAGTTATCTCCCCATCATACCTGAGTTAGAGTTATCACTCCATCATACCTGTTATAGACTTATCTCCCCATCATACCTGAGTTAGAGTTATCTCTCCATCATACCTGAGTTAGAGTTATCTCCCCATCATACCTGTTATAGACTTATCTCCCCATCATACCTGACTATGAGTTATCTTTCTTCTATGTAAAATAGCTTTTAAGATCTGTCTCCTAACATGCCTTATTCAGTGTTACCTACCCTGGATAAGCATTTGTGTGGTGACATCTGATTTACTCTTCCTATTCCGATTCTGGCTGTCAGGGAAATGAGGATAATGATTGAATACACCTGTAGATAACGCCACCTTCTATGGTGGTACCAAAATGCTGTCTTGAGCCTACACGATAAGGGAACTAATTTTAGACAGCTGTTTCATATAGAAGTACTGCAGACTCCTGTGTTCACACAGCTGTTTTATATAGAAGTACTGCAGGCCCCTGTGTTCAGACAGCTCTTTTATATAGAAGCACTACAGGCCCTGTGTTCAGACAGATGTTTTATATAGAAGTACTGCAGGCGCTGTGTTCAGACAGCTATTTTACATAGAAGTACTGCAGGCCCCTGTGATCAGACAGCTGTTTTATATAGAAGTACTGCAGGCCCCTGTGATCAGACAGCTGTTTTATATAGAAGTACTGCAGGCCCCTGTGATCAGACAGCTGTTTTATATAGAAGTACTGCAGGCTCCTGTGTTCAGACAGCTGCTTTGTAAAAAGAACTGCAGGCCCATATTTGTTAGAATCCAGTAGCAAGATTGGACCGTAGTCAACATTACTTACTAGATTATATATATATATAAATAGTTTATAGAAAATGTTTATGTGTGGTATTTATAACATGTTTATTATGTAATGTACATACTACATACATATGAACAATTAGTTTTTATGTATATGACACAAGTTATTTTTTTGTATGGGACGTATATTTGTACATAAAATCACAAACAGTTGGAAGAGAAGGTTTCCATGAGTTATAAACCAATTGTTAGTAGATATGTACACTGTCTTTTGATTTAAAAAATCCAATTCATTCACAAACAGGATAATGAACAGCAATATTGACTGAGAGTATGGTAGAAAATGTTCTCTCATTTAGAATGCATGTCTGATCTGTTGATTGTAGATATATCGACTAATTAATTAGTATAGTCACTAATTACTCAGTACAAAGACTAATTAATTAGTATAGTCACTAATTACTTAGTACAAAGACTAATTAATATAGTCACTAATTACTCAGTACAAAGACTTATTAATTAGTATAGTCACTAATTACTCAGTACAATGACTAATTAATTAGTAGAGTCACTAATTACTCAGTACAATGACTAATTAATTAGTATAGTCACTAATTACTCAGTACAATGACTAATTAATTAGTATAGTCACTAATTACTCAGTACCAAGACTAATTAATTAGGATAGTCACTAATTACTCAGTACAATGACTAATTAATTAGTATAGTCACTAATTACTCAGTACATGACTAATTAATTAGTATAGTCACTAATTACTCAGTACAAAGACTAATTAATTAGTATAGTCACTAATTACTCAGTACAATGACTAATTAATTAGTATAGTCACTAATTACTCAGTACCAAGACTAATTAATTAGGATAGTCACTAATTACTCAGTACAAAGACTTATTAATTAGTATAGTCACTAATTACTCAGTACAAAGACTTATTAATTAGTATAGTCACTCAGTACAAAGACTAATTAATTAGTATAGTCACTAATTACTCAGTACAAAGACTAATTAATAAGTATAGTCACTAATTACACAGTACAAAGACTAATTAATTAGTATAGACACTAATTACTCAGTACAATGACTGATTAATTAGTATAGTCACTAATTACTCAGTACAATGACTAATTAATCATTATCATTATAATTATTTATGTACATAGAATGGTTTTATTTCCCAAAATTTTGCCATTGGGTTTCAAAATTGGAATGTTTAATTCAAGGTTATTTTTTATCCATTGAAAAACAGGATATAAAATATAAATATTCTTTTGAATGCTTTCTTAATTAAAATTGGCCAGGTCAGTATTCATCAAATTTTATATTTGAAAAAAGCAAAAATTAGACATTGGCAGAGGAAATCATTTTTAAACTTCTGGTGGCATTGAGCTGAAAATAGGTGTAGATGTTACAGAAATTCATCAAATTTTATATTTGAAAAAAGCAAAACTTAGACATTGGCAGAAGAACAGTTATACAGTTGAATCAATTTGTACCAGGTATATTGTGTATGTTTTAGTTCTAGTTTGAAATGTTAATCTACCATCATTGTTATGATTTTTAATTTCTATGACACTTATGTTAATTACAACATTGTAAATGTTTTTCAGTGTAATTATGATTTTATATACTTAGGTCACCTGACCTAAAGGGTTAAGATAACCTTTAGTCCCCATGTTTTATTTGTCATGTGCTGTCTGCTGTAAATATTTTCTTCATTATCATAATTATGTTTATTACAACATTTTTAATGTTTTTCAATAATCATTGTCTTATTCTGTCCATCAATCTGCTGTGCTATTTTTTGGGTTAGTCATTGCCATCCAGCTGAAAATTGTAGGGATGTTAAGGAAAGGAAGTGGAAATTTTTTTTTTTTTTTTAATACCTTATCTTACCAAAGGTAAACATATATACAACATACAAAACAATTGCATGTTTAAGCTTCAGTCAATACCTGAATTACATTCCTAGTCAATACAATCTTATCCAGGGTTGATAAATTCTGGTATCAACCTCAATCAAGGGCTGTAATTGTATAATATCATATAGGTGATCAATGAAGTAATAACAACAGTTTGGACAAGTGAATTGTCAAATTTGTAGGCAACCTGCCCCTTTATCAAGACACAAATATTACATAAATTACATCACGTACAGAGAACATAAAACAAATACAAAGTTATAAAGTTAAATCAAGAGCGGTGATGTAAATTTAGGTGTCCTGATGATCCCTTCAGCTGATGGATGCTGAAGATCCTTTGTCAGGTTCTGACAGTGAACCAATCATCACATCACCTCTAGTCAGGTTCTGACAGTGAACCATTCCTCATATCACCTCTAGTCAGGTTCTGACAGTGAACCACTCATCACATCACCTCTAGTCAGGTTCTGACAGTGAACCACTCATCACATCACCTCTAGTGAGGTTCTGACAGTGAACCACTCATCACATCACATCACCTCTAGTGAAGGTCTGACAGTGAACCACTCATCACATCACCTCTAGTCAGGTTCTGACAGTGAACCACTCATCACATCACCTCTAGTCAGGTTCTGACAGTGAACCACTCATCACATCACCTCTAGTCAGGTTCTGACAGTGAACCACTCATCACATCACCTCTAGTCAGGTTCTGACAGTGAACCACTCATCACATCACCTCTAGTCAGGTTCTGACAGTGAACCAATCATCACATCACCTCTAGTCAGGTTCTGACAGTGAACCACTCATCACATCACCTCTAGTCAGGTTCTGACAGTGAACCACTCATCACATCACCTCTAGTCAGGTTCTGACAGTGAACCACTCATCACATCACCTCTAGTCAGGTTCTGACAGTGAACCACTCATCACATCACCTCTAGTCAGGTTCTGACAGTGAACCACACATCACATCACATCACCTCTAGTCAGGTTCTGACAGTGAACCACTCATCACATCACCTCTAGTCAGGTTCTGACAGTGAACCACTCATCACATCACCTCTAGTCAGGTTCTGACAGTGAATCACTCATCACATCACCTCTAGTCAGGTTCTGACAGTGAACCACTCATCATATCACCTCTAGTCAGGTTCTGACAGTGAACCAATCATCACATCACCTCTAATCAGGTTCTGACAGTGAATCACTCATCACATCACCTCTAGTCAGGTTCTGACAGTGAACCACTCATCACATCACCTCTAGTCAGGTTCTGACAGTGAACCAATCATCACATCACCTCTAATCAGGTTCTGACAGTGAATCACTCATCACATCACCTCTAGTCAGGTTCTGACAGTGAACCACTCATCACATCACCTCTAGTCAGGTTCTGACAGTGAACCAATCATCATATCACCTCTAATCAGGTTCTGACAGTGAATCACTCATCACATCACCTCTAGTCAGGTTCTGACAGTGAATCACTCATCACATCACCTCTAGTCAGGTTCTGACAGTGAACCACTCATCACATCACCTCTAGTCAGGTTCTGACAGTGAACCACTCATCACATCACCTTTAGTCAGGTTCTGACAGTAAACCACACATCACATCACCTCTAGTGAAGGTCTGACAGTAAACCACTCATCACATCACCTCTAGTCAGGTTCTGACAGTGAACCACTCATCACATCACCTCTAGTCAGGTTCTGACAGTGAAACACTCATCACATCACCTCTAGTCAGGTTCTGACAGTGAACCACTCCTCATATCCCCTCTAGTCAGGTTCTGACAGTGAACCACTCCTCACATCCCCTCAAGTTAGGTTCTGACAGTGAACCACCCATTACATCACCTCTAGTCAGGTTCTGACAGTGAACCACTCATCCTATCACCTCTAGTCAGGTTCTGACAGTGAACCACTCATCACATCACCTGTAGTCAGGTTCTGACAGTAAACCACACATCACATCACATCACCTCTAGTGAAGGTCTGACAGTGAACCACTCATCACATCACCTCTAGTCAGGTTCTTATTGTGAAGAAACATTTAATTTACTTATTTTTGGTGTGAAAATAAAATCTGAATGACAAACAAAATGATGGCTGTACATTGCAACCTTTACCTTTCATACATTAAAAATATATATCTTTTATGCATGTAATTTTTGTTACTTTTATTTTTAAATCAAAATAACAACATTAAATCAGGACCTGTTGAGGAGCTGATTTTTGAAAAAAAGCTAAATCCAAAACACGCATTTTTCTGTAAAATCCAGTAATCAACAAGAGGCCCAAGGGGCCTTAACGCTCACGACGCATGACGCACAACGCTAAAAAGCAACAATTGAGAATAAAGAGGAACGTACACATGAAATTTGAAAACTTCATGAAAATCCAAGGTAACCGTCTGCCCGCCCTTTTTTTTTTTTGATTAGGCCTATAATGGAGTACACTTGAGAACTTAGGGAACATTCATATAAAATATAGCATGATTTATCTAGCACTTAAATACAAAAACTTAACCTTTATCTTACCATTGTCAACTCACTTCACCCAAATACTGAAGTGAGACTTTATGTTTCCAGTTAAATATAATTGATAGCTTTCTTTTAAATCGAGGAAAGAAGATGGTCAAACAATATAGCAGAAAAACTCTTAGTTACAGCTGGACGGATGACCCAGGACAGCAGAAGCTTACTTGCCCTTTAGATCATAGTTTACAAACACAGGAAAAATTAAGGTACATGTAATTTGAAACTATAATCCTAACTCAAAACCAATAATAAAATGTTTCATGTGTATCATTAGTGATGTCACCATGGCCAGTTAAGCCCTGGTTACTGGAGATATACTGATAACAGTTTACTGTAGGCCTATAAACACTGCATAGCAAATGGGATCAACTTAGAATTTCTTATTTATTTATGCTATAATTATGAAAAATCTTAAATCAAAATGAAGCTCTTGCAATTCTCTTTCCGGTCATATTTTCTGTATTTTAATGCTGTAAATAGAACATAAGTAATTGGCTAACATATAGTTATTCACATTACTTTGCTCAAGCCTATCAGACCTCCAGGGGGCTTGGTTTAATCTATTTTTGGAACAGTGTGACATCACTGCGTAAGGTCTTTATAATTTATTCCAGATTATTCCAAGAAAATTCCCAGCCAAACATATTCCTTTAATAAGTCATTGGAAGGTTCTACATATATGTATATAAGCCTTTGTGAAACTTTTACTGGCCAAATATGATAGCCTTTGGTCAGTCAGAAGTTGTTAATGATTTTACCAAATTTAACCCCAGTGAACACCATGAAGGGAACCTTTTGGCCAAATATTGTGATTTTAGGCCTTTTGATTAAGCAGAAGTTGTTCAAAGGTTTGACCGTTGTGACTTTGAATATGGGTCAAGGTAATTTCTTTGCTCAAATATTATCAGGCATCACTGAGAACCTAAATTGTCATAATATCACTATCCTAGATATTTGGTTAGCCAGAAAAAGTCATTTAAAGGTTTGAACACATTTGACATCTGTGACCTTGAATATGGGTAAAGGTGATTTCTTTTTGCAAACTTTCTTGGGCTTGATAAAAGGAACATACTGGCCAAATATAATGATTCTAGGCTTTTCGATATTTCATAAGAAATTGTTTAAACGTTTTAACACATTTGACTTCTGTGACCTTGAAGATTGGTCAAGGTAATTTCTTTTAGCAAACTTTGTAGGACACCATAAGAGGAACATAGTAGCCTAATATAATGATTCTAGGCCTTCTGGTATTTGGGTAGAAGTCATTTAAAGGTTTTAACACATTTGACCTCTGCGACCTTGAATATGGGACAAGGTCATTTCTTTTTGCAAACTTTGTTGGGCGTCATCAAAGGAACCTTCCGGCCTTATATAATGTGTCCTGGCCTTCAGGTATTTTGGAAGAAGTTGTTTAAATGAAAAGTTGATGGACGCAGGACAGACAGCCCCTTGGGCCAGGTGAGCTAATAAGTATCTGTCAGCTGTTGTCATGGTAATTGATTTTATAAACAATGATTAAAACAACAAACAATCTTTAAGAAAAACTGGAGTCACCGAAGACCTTTATTAAGATACTGGACAAACATATTACAAAGCATTTCTGTATCACTGACTGGGTGCATTTTTGTATATACAATGAACTGTCGACGATGACGCTGTAGCTCTCCCAAGGTTAAAGGTCGCAGTACTGTAATCTGTATTAGAAGAGGAAAAATCAGCATTATAGGTACAGCCTTACAATTTTTATCAAACAGACCTTAAAAATACTTCTTCTTCAAGGACGAAGCCTCAATATTGCATGATATTAAGAACCAAGAGGAACCTACACAACACAAATATAACACACTACAGAACCAACAGGAACCTACACAACACATATATAACACACTATACAGAACCAACAGGAACCTACACAACACATATATAACACACTACAGAACCAACAGGAACCTACACAACACATATATAACACACTACAGAACCAACAGGATCTTACACAACACATATATAACACACTATACAGAAGCAACAGTAACCTACACAACACATATATAACACACTATACAGAACCAACAGGAACCTACACAACACATATATAACACACTATACAGAACCAACAGGAACCTACACAACACATATATAACACACTATACAGAACCAACAGGAACCTACACAACACATATATAACACACTACAGAACCAACAGGAACCTACACAACACATATATAACACACTATACAGAACCAACAGGATCTTACACAACACATATATAACACACTATACAGAACCAACAGGAACCTACACAACACATATATAACACACTACAGAACCAACAGGAACCTACACAACACATATATAACACACTATACAGAACCAACAGGAACCTACACAACACATATATAACACACTACAGAACCAACAGGAACCTACACAACACATATATAACACACTACAGAACCAACAGGAACCTACACCACACATAACACACTACAGAACCAACAGGAACCTACACAACACATATATAACACACTACAGAACCAACAGGAACCTACACAACACATATATAACACACTATACAGAACATATATAACAGGATCTTACACAACACATATATAACACACTATACAGAACCAACAGGAACCTACACAACACATATATAACACACTATACAGAACCAACAGGAACCTACACAACACATATATAACACACAACAGAACCAACAGGAACCTACACAACACATATATAACACACTACAGAAACAACAGGAACCTACACAACACATATATAACACATTATACAGAACATATAAACCTACAACAGGATATATAACACACAACACATATATAACACACATATATAACACAGAACCAACAGGAACCTACACAACACATATATAACACACTATACAGAAGCAACAGTAACCTACACAACACATATATAACACACTACAGAACCAACAGGAACCTACACAACACATATATAACACACTACAGAACCAACAGTAACCTACACAACACATATATAACACACTATACAGAACCAACAGGAACCTACACAACACATATATAACACACTATACAGAACCAACAGGAACCTACACAACACATATATAACACACTACAGAACCAACAGTAACCTACACAACACATATATAACACACTACAGAACCAACAGGAACCTACACAACACATATATAACACACTATACAGAACCAACAGGAACCTACACAACACATATATAACACACTATACAGAACCAACAGGATCTTACACAACACATATATAACACACTATACAGAACCAACAGGAACCTACACAACACATATATAACACACTACAGAACCAACAGGATCTTACACAACACATATATAACACACTATACAGAAGCAACAGTAACCTACACAACACATATATAACACACTATACAGACCTACACATATATAACACATATATAACACACTATACAACCACACAGGAACCTACACAACACATATATAACACACTATACAGAACCAACAGGAACCTACACAACACATATATAACACACTACAGAACCAACAGGAACCTACACAACACATATATAACACACTATACAGAAGCAACAGGAACCTACACAACACATATATAACATATATAACCACACTACAGAACCAACAGAACTTACACAACACATATATACACACACATATATACAGAACCAACAGGAACCTACACAACACATATATAACACACTATACAGAACCAACAGGAACCTACACAACACATATATAACACACTATACAGAACCAACAGGATCTTACACAACACATATATAACACACTATACAGAACCAACAGGAACCTACACAACACATATATAACACACTATACAGAACCAACAGGTACCTACACAACACATATATAACACACTACAGAACCAACAGGATCTTACACAACACATATATAACACACTATACAGAACCAAGAACAACCTACACAAGATCTGTAAAGTAATTTTGAAGGAGAGATACAGGGATGAGGTAGAGAGGGGCTGTCTATACTATCAGTGACTGGAGAGAATGAGATACAGAGATGAGGTAGAGAGGGGCTGTCTATACTATCAGTGACTGGAGAGAGTGAGATACAGAGATGAGGTAGAGAGGGGCTGTCTATACTATCAGTGACTGGAGAGAGTGAGATACAGAGATGAGGTAGAGAGGGGCTGTCTATACTATCAGTGACTGGAGAGAATGAGATACAGAGATGAGGTAGAGAGGGGCTGTCTATACTATCAGTGACTGGAGAGAATGAGATACAGAGATGAGGTAGAGAGGGGCTGTCTATACTATCAGTGACTGGAGAGAATGAGATACAGAGATGAGGTAGAGAGGGGCTGTCTATACTATCAGTGACTGGAGAGAGTGAGATACAGAGATGAGGTAGAGAGGGGCTGTCTATACTATCAGTGACTGGAGAGAGTGAGATACAGAGATGAGGTAGAGAGGGGCTGTCTATACTATCAGTGACTGGAGAGAGTGAGATACAGAGATGAGGTAGAGAGGGGCTGTCTATACTATCAGTGACTGGAGAGAGTGAGATACAGAGATGAGGTAGAGAGGGGCTGTCTATACTATCAGTGACTGGAGAGAGTGAGATACAGAGATGAGGTAGAGAGGGGCTGTCTATACTATCAGTGACTGGAGAGAGTGAGATACAGAGATGAGGTAGAGAGGGGCTGTCTATACTATCAGTGACTGGAGAGAGTGAGATACAGAGATGAGGTAGAGAGGGGCTGTCTATACTATCAGTGACTGGAGAGAATGAGATACAGAGATGAGGTAGAGAGGGGCTGTCTATACTATCAGTGACTGGAGAGAGTGAGATACAGAGATGAGGTAGAGAGGGGCTGTCTATACTATCAGTGACTGGAGAGAGTGAGATACAGAGATGAGGTAGAGAGGGGCTGTCTATACTATCAGTGACTGGAGAGAATGAGATACAGAGATGAGGTAGAGAGGGGCTGTCTATACTATCAGTGACTGGAGAGAGTGAGATACAGAGATGAGGTAGAGAGGGGCTGTCTATACTATCAGAGCCGATCACCTCTTTGCTTAATCATTGCCTGTACCTGAATCTAGCTAAGCATGTCACAGTAAGCAGACTGGTAGAGGACAAACAGAACGGGGAAAGGGGTCCAAGGATATAAGAATTTCATTATCATGAACTTCTCAATATATGACAAAGTTGGATTTTATGTATGGAAACCTACCTTCTCCTTAGCACCCGGTATAGGTATCTCATCCCCTGGTACACAGGTCTTCTGTGCAGCCATGAGAACCTACAACCAAAATAGTACTAGTGTTGGTCTTCTAGTAACTCTTTGTTTCCATGGTAACAGAGCAGACATAAAAAAAGAAAAGAAAAAAATCTTGCCAATAACAAAAGCTACAACTTAAGTAAACTACAATCTGATATGTAATACAAAGTTTTGTAGATTTCATTTGAGAAGTTTCAATATGCAGACTAGAACAAAAATCGCAGTAATTTCAAAAAATTGTATTTCTAATTGTTTCCAACGTTATCCAGGAAACAATAAGAAATACGAAATAAAGTAATGGAGAAAAAATTAATAATAAAACCTAAAGCAAAGGTCACCACTCAAGTATAAGCATAATCAATACACATATGTATAGTGTATTTGTGTAAACATTTAGCTGGGGTCAATACACATATGTATAGTGTATTTGTGTAAACATTTAGCTGGGGTCAATACACATATGTATAGTGTATTTGTGTAAACATTTAGCTGAGATCAATACACATATGTATAGTGTATTTGTGTAAACATTTAGCTGGGGTCAATACACATATGTATAGTGTATTTGTGTAAACATTTAGCTGGGGTCAATACACATATGTATAGTGTATTTGTGTAAACATTTAGCTGGGGTCAATACACATATGTATAGTGAATTTGTGTAAACATTTAGCTGAGATTAATACACATATGTACAGTGTATTTGTGTAAACATTAAGCTGGGGTCAATACACATATGTATAGTGTATTTGTGTAAACATTTAGCTGGGGTCAATACACATATGTAAAGTTAGCTGGGGTCAATACACATATGTATAGTGTATTTGTGTAAACATTTAGCTGGGGTCAATACACATATGTATAGTGTATTTGTGTAAACATTTAGCTGAGGTCAATACACATATGTATAGTGTATTTGTGTAAACATTTAGCTGGGGTCAATACACATATGTATAGTGTATTTGTGTAAACATTTAGCTGAGGTCAATACACATATGTATAGTGTATTTGTGTAAACATTTAGCTGGGGTCAATACAATACATATGTATAGTGTATTTGTGTAAACATTTAGCTGAGGTCAATACACATATGTATAGTGTATTTGTGTAAACATTTAGCTGAGATCAATACACATATGTATAGTGTATTTGTGTAAACATTTAGCTGAGATCGATACACATATGTATAGTGTATTTGTGTAAACATTTAGCTGAGATCAATACACATATGTAAAGTGTATTTGTGTAAACATTTAGCTCGGGTCAGTTGAATGGTGTTCAAGCTGCAACTTCGAAAAGCTCCACAGACCAATGACTGAACCTAATCTAATATCCCTCATTTGTTTTACTTGGAATAGAATGTGACATTTCTATGACTACACGGTCACTTCCATCTTATACACAACCAGTAGAAGATTAGAGTGTGACGTTTCTATAACTACACGGTCACCTTCATCTCATAACACAACCAGCAGAAGATTAGAGTGTGACGTTTCGATGACTACACGGTAACCATCATCTTATAACACAACCAGTAGAAGATAAGAGTGTGACGTTTCGATGACTACACGGTCACCTTCATCTTCTAACACAACCAGTAGAAGATTAGAGTGTGAGGTTTCTATGACTACACGGTCACGGACCAGTTTGAAATGTAGTAGTACTTACATACATTGTACTATATCCTACTTGCACTAAAATGGAAAATAGTGTAACACACTACTTAACTGTAACAAACTAAATGATGTCATGATTAACCAAAGTTAATTAATAGTTAACAACATTTTGGTGATTAATAACATTTCATTACAATCTATTTATCAATTGTTCTATAATATATGTAAATAAGTGTGACCCAAATACAGAATTAGATAATTACAGAGTCGTAATGTCAGGACCCAAGCCTCCATGACACAGAATATACAAATGTACTTCAGTGGTCAGGTTGAGTACAACAGTCAAGTACTTATGGTCAGTTTATGGAGCTGGACCAACATCGCTCAATAGTTATGAAATATTGAATTATGAAACTGCCTGCAAGAGCAGGTGATGGTCAAGCTGTCTCCAAATATGGCCATAGTGTGTTAGAAACCGTGGTACTATGACCATGGTATGACCAATTATGGTCAAAATTTAGTTAAGGATACGAGCTCATGTTTGACAACCTGACTATTGCCTATAACATATAGCAACTCTCTCTCCTTAATTCTCAAATTCTGCCGTTGTAACCTAACTTTGTTGAATGTAAACTTAACATCATTTGAAAACTTTTCACTTTTACCTGTGTACACCAAGGAATAGATGCTAGATGTCTTGTAGTACAAGGATGATGTAACTAATTCTAGTGAGAAATGTACACTAGGAACCTGGTTTGGATTCTCATTCACTTAAAAAAACAAAAAATCATTGTTAGTGTATATAGGATTACAGACAAAAAAGTTGATTCCTTACCATCTCATTACACTACGTACGTCAGTGCTAGTACGCTCCACACTGGTCATCTGTCTAATGAAGGTGACCGTGTATATCTCATTACACTACGTTCGTCAGTGCTAGTACGCTCCACACTGGTCATCTGTCTAATGAAGGTGACCGTGTATATCTCATTACACTACGTACGTCAGTGCTAGTACGCTCCACACTGGTCATCTGTCTAATGAAGGTGACCGTGTATATCTCATTACACTACGTACGTCAGTGCTAGTACGCTCCACACTGGTCATCTGTCTAATGAAGGTGACCGTGTATATCTCATTACACTACGTTCGTCAGTGCTAGTACGCTCCACACTGGTCATCTGTCTAATGAAGGTGACCGTGTATATCTCATTACACTACATACGTCAGTGCTAGTACGCTCCACACTGGTCATCTGTCTAATGAAGGTGACCGTGTATATCTCATTACACTACGTACGTCAGTGCTAGTACGCTCCACACTGGTCATCTGTCTGATGAAGGTGACCGTGTAGATCTCATTACACTACGTACGTCAGTGCTAGTACGCTCCACACTGGTCATCTGTCTGATGAAGGTGACAGTGTAGATCTCATTACACTACGTACGTCAGTGCTAGTACGCTCCACACTGGTCATCTGTCTAATGAAGGTGACAGTGTATATCTCATTACACTACGTACGTCAGTGCTAGTACGCTCCACACTGGTCATCTGTCTAATGAAGGTGACCGTGTAGATCTCATTACACTATGTACGTCAGTGCTAGTACGCTCCACACTGGTCATCTGTCTAATGAAGGTGACCGTGTATATCTCATTACACTATGTACGTCAGTGCTAGTACGCTCCACACTGGTCATCTGTCTAATGAAGGTGACCGTGTATATCTCATTACACTATGTACGTCAGTGCTAGTACGCTCCACACTGGTCATCTGTCTGATGAAGGTGACCGTGTATATCTCATTACACTATGTACGTCAGTGCTAGTACGCTCCACACTGGTCATCTGTATGATGAAGGTGACCGTGTCGATCTCATTACACTACGTACGTCAGTGCTAGTACGCTCCACACTGGTCATCTGTCTAATGAAGGTGACCGTGTATATCTCATTACACTATGTACGTCAGTGCTAGTACGCTCCACACTGGTCATCTGTCTAATGAAGGTGACCGTGTAGATCTCGTACACTACCTAGTTCAGTGCTAGTACGCTCCACACTGGTCATCTGTCTAATGAAGGTGACCGTGTATATCTCATTACACTATGTACGTCAGTGCTAGTACTCTCCACACTGGTCATCTGTCTAATGAAGATGACCGTGTATATCTCATTACACTATGTACGTCAGTGCTAGTACGCTCCACACTGGTCATCTGTCTGATGAAGGTGACCGTGTAGATCTCATTACACTACGTACGTTCAGTGCTAGTACGCTCCACACTGGTCATTTGTCTAATGAAGGTGACCGTGTATATCTCATTACACTATGTACGTCAGTGCTAGTACGCTCCACACTGGTCATCTGTCTAATGAAGGTGACCGTGTATATCTCATTACACTATGTACGTCAGTGCTAGTACGCTCCACACTGGTCATCTGTCTGATGAAGGTGACCGTGTAGATCTCATTACACTACGTACGTCAGTGCTAGTACGCTCCACACTGGTCATCTGTCTAATGAAGGTGACAGTGTAGATCTCATTACACTACGTACGTCAGTGCTAGTACGCTCCACACTGGTCATCTGTCTAATGAAGGTGACCGTGTATATCTCATTACACTATGTACGTCAGTGCTAGTACGCTACACACTGGTCATCTGTCTGATGAAGGTGACCGTGTATATCTCATTACACTATGTACGTCAGTGCTAGTACGCTCCACACTGGTCATCTGTCTAATGAAGGTGACCGTGTAGATCTCACACACTACGTACGTCAGTGCTAGTACGCTCCACACTGGTCATCTGTCTAATGAAGGTGACAGTGTAGATCTCATTACACTACGTACGTCAGTGCTAGTACGCTCCACACTGGTCATCTGTCTAATGAAGGTGACCGTGTAGATCTCGTACACTACCTACGTCAGTGCTAGTACGCTCCACACTGGTCATCTGTCTAATGAAGGTGACCGTGTATATCTCATTACACTACGTACGTCAGTGCTAGTACTCTCCACACTGGTCATCTGTCTAATGAAGGTGACCGTGTGTATCTCATTACACTACGTACGTCAGTGCTAGTACGCTCCACACTGGTCATCTGTCTAATGAAGGTGACCGTGTATATCTCATTACACTATGTACGTCAGTGCTAGTACGCTCCACACTGGTCATCTGTCTGATGAAGGTGACCGTGTAGATCTCATTACACTACGTACGTCAGTGCTAGTACGCTCCACACTGGTCATCTGTCTAATGAAGGTGACAGTGTAGATCTCATTACACTACGTACGTCAGTGCTAGTACGCTCCACACTGGTCATCTGTCTAATGAAGGTGACCGTGTAGATCTCGTACACTACCTAGTTCAGTGCTAGTACGCTCCACACTGGTCATCTGTCTAATGAAGGTGACCGTGTATATCTCATTACACTATGTACGTCAGTGCTAGTACTCTCCACACTGGTCATCTGTCTAATGAAGATGACCGTGTATATCTCATTACACTATGTACGTCAGTGCTAGTACGCTCCACACTGGTCATCTGTCTAATGAAGGTGACCGTGTAGATCTCGTACACTACCTAGTTCAGTGCTAGTACGCTCCACACTGGTCATTTGTCTAATGAAGGTGACCGTGTATATCTCATTACACTATGTACGTCAGTGCTAGTACGCTCCACACTGGTCATCTGTCTAATGAAGGTGACCGTGTATATCTCATTACACTATGTACGTCAGTGCTAGTACGCTCCACACTGGTCATCTGTCTGATGAAGGTGACCGTGTAGATCTCATTACACTACGTACGTCAGTGCTAGTACGCTCCACACTGGTCATCTGTCTAATGAAGGTGACAGTGTAGATCTCATTACACTACGTACGTCAGTGCTAGTACGCTCCACACTGGTCATCTGTCTAATGAAGGTGACCGTGTATATCTCATTACACTATGTACGTCAGTGCTAGTACGCTACACACTGGTCATCTGTCTAATGAAGGTGACCGTGTATATCTCATTACACTACGTACGTCAGTGCTAGTACGCTCCACACTGGTCATCTGTCTAATGAAGGTGACCGTGTATATCTCATTACACTATGTATGTCAGTGCAAGAACACTCCACACTGGTCATTTGTCTGATGAAGGTGACAGTGTAGATCTCGTACACTACTTACGTCAGTGCTAGTACGCTCCACACTGGTCATTTGTCTGATGAAGGTGACCATGTAGATCTCGTACACTACATACGTCAGTTTTAGTACGCTCCACACTGATCATTTGTCTGATGAAGGTGACCGTGTAGATCTTGTAAACTATGTACATCAGTGCTAGTATGCTCTACACTGGTCATTTGTCTGATGAAGGTGACCGTGTAGATCTTGTACACTACCTAGTTCAGTGCAAGAATGCTCCACACTGGTTATTTGTCTGATGACAATGACTAGATCTCGTACACTATGTACGCCAGTGCTAGTACGCTCAACACTGGTCATTTGTCTGATGAAGGTGGCCATGTAGATCTCGCGCACTACATACGTCAGTGCTAGTACGCTCCACACTGGTCATCTGTCTAATGAAGGTGACCGTGTAGATCTCATTACACTACGTGTACGCCATGTCAGAGGAAGGTGAGTACGCTCCACACTGGTCATCTGTCATGTTTAATGAAGGTGACTTACATGTAGATCATTTGTCATGTTTAGAGGAGGGAGTACATACATGTCAGCTAGTACGCTCCACACTGATCATTTGTCTGATGAAGGTGACCGTGTAGATCTTGTAAACTATGTACATCAGTGCTAGTATGCTCTACACTGGTCATTCTGTCTGCCATGAAGGTGAGTGTAGATCTTGTACACTACCTAGTTCAGTGCAGAGAACGCTCCACACTGGTTACTTGTCTGATGACATGACTGTAGATCTCGTACTTACATGTACGCCAGTGTTTAGTACGCTCCACACTGGTACATCTGTGTGGCCATGAAGGTGACCGTGAAGATTCTCTGTCAGTAGACTTACACTGTGTGGCCATGTTTAGGAGGGAGTGACTACTAGTACGCTCCACACTGGTCATGTTGTCTGATGAAGGTGACCAGTGTAATCTCTGGTACACTACATACTGTGTCAGTTTGAGGAGGGAGTGCTCCACACTGGACTTACATTCTGTGTGGCCTTAACTCTTGTAGACTTACATTCTGTGTGGCCATGTTTAGAGGAGGGAGTGAACTTAACTCTGGTAGACTTCCATTCTGTGTAGCCATGTTTGAGGAGGAAGTGAAAAATATTCCTCTGGTAGACTTACATTCTGTGTGGCCATGTTTAGAGGAGGGAGTGAACTTAACTCTGGTAGACTTACATTCTGTGTGGCCATGTTTAGAGGAGGGAGTGAACTTTCCTCTGGTAGACTTACATTCTGTGTAGCCATGTTTAGAGGAGGGAGTGAACCACTCTGGTAGACTTACATTCTGTGTAGCCATGTTTGGAGGAGGGAGTGAACTTTCCACTCTGGTAGATTACATTCTGTGTGGCCATGTTTAGAGGAGGGAGTGAACTTAACTCCTGGTAGACTTACATTCTGTGTGGCCTGAGTGGACAATACCATGTTTAGAGGAGGGATGTGAACTTTCCTCTGGTAGACTTAATTCTGTGTGGCCATGTTTAGAGGAGGGAGTGAACTTTAACTGGTACAGACTGGAAATATGGTAAACTTACATTCTGTGTGGCCATGTTTAGAGGAGGGAGTGAACTTTCCTCTGGTAGACTTACATTCTGTGTGGCCATGTTTAGAGGAGGGAGTGAACTTAACTCTGGTAGACTTACATTCTGTGTGGCCATGTTTAGAGGAGGGAGTGAACTTAACTCTGGTAGACTTACATTCTGTGTAGCCATGTTTAGAGGAGGGAGTGAACTTTCCTCTGGTAGACTTACATTCTGTGTGGCCATGTTTAGAGGAGGGAGTGAACTTAACTCTGGTAGACTTACATTCTGTGTAGCCATGTTTAGAGGAGGGAGTGAACTTTCCTCTGGTAGACTTACATTCTGTGTGGCCATGTTTAGAGGAGGGAGTGAACTTAACTCTGGTAGACTTACATTCTGTGTAGCCATGTTTAGAGGAGGGAGTGAACTTTCCTCTGGTAGACTTACATTCTGTGTGGCCATGTTTAGAGGAGGGAGTGAACTTTCCTCTGGTAGACTTACATTCTGTGTAGCCATGTTTGGAGGAGGGAGTGAACTTAACTCTAGTAGACTTACATTCTGTGTAGCCATGTTCAGAGGAGGGAGTAAACTTTCCTCTGGTAGACTTACATTCTGTGTAGCCATGTTTGGAGGAGGGAGTGAACTTAACTCTGGTAGACTAACATTCTGTGTGGCCATGTTTAGAGGTGGGAGTGAACTGGTAGACTTACATTCTGTGTGGCCATGTTTAGAGGAGGGAGTGAACTTTCCTCTGGTAGACTTACATTCTGTGTGGCCATGTTTAGAGGAGGGAGTGAACTTTCCTCTGGTAGACTTACATTCTGTGTGGCCATGTTTAGAGGAGGGAGTGAACTTTCCTCTGGTAGACTTACATTCTGTGTAGCCATGTTTAGAGGAGGGAGTGAACTTTCCTCTGGTAGACTTACATTCTGTGTGGCCATGTTTAGAGGAGGGAGTGAACTTAACTCTGGTAGACTTACATTCTGTGTAGCCATGTTTGGAGGAGGGAGTGAACTTTCCTCTGGTAGACTTACATTCTGTGTGGCCATGTTTAGAGGAGGGAGTGAACTTTCCTCTGGTAGACTTACATTCTGTGTAGCCATGTTTGGAGGAGGGAGTGAACTTTCCTCTGGTAGACTTACATTCTGTGTAGCCATGTTTGGACTTTCCTCTGGTAGACTTACATTCTGTGTGGCCATGAGTGAACTTTCCTCTGGTAGACTTACATTCTGTGTGGCCATGTTTAGAGGAGGGAGTGAACTTTCCTCTGGTAGACTTACATTCTGTGTGGCCATGTTTAGAGGAGGGAGTGAACTTTCCTCTGGTAGACTTACATTCTGTGTGGCCATGTTTAGAGGAGGGAGTGAACTTTCCTCTGGTAGACTTACATTCTGTGTGGCCATGTTTAGAGGAGGGAGTGAACTTTCCTCTGGTAGACTTACATTCTGTGTGGCCATGTTTAGAGGAGGGAGTGAACTTAACTCTAGTAGACTTACATTCTGTGTAGCCATGTTTAGAGGAGGGAGTGAACTTTCCTCTGGTAGACTTACATTCTGTGTGGCCATGTTTAGAGGAGGGAGTGAACTTTCCTCTGGTAGACTTACATTCTGTGTAGCCATGTTTAGAGGAGGGAGTGTAGACTTACATTCTGTGTAGCCATGTTTAGAGGAGGGAGTGAACTTTCCTCTGGTAGACTTACATTCTGTGTGGCCATGTTTAGAGGAGGGAGTGAACTTAACTCTGGTAGACTTACATTCTGTGTGGCCATGTTTAGAGGAGGAGGGAGTGAACTTTCCTGTGTCATGGTAGACTTACATTCTGTGTAGCCATGTTTGGAGGTGGGAGTGAACTTTCCTCTGGTATACTTACATTCTGTGTGGCATGTTTAGAGGAGGGAGTGAACTTTCCTCTGGTAGACTTACATTCTGTGTAGCCATGTTTGGAGGAGGGAGTGAACTTTCCTCTGGTAGACTTACATTCTGTGTAGCCATGTTTGGAGGAGGGAGTGAACTTTCCTCTGGTAGACTTACATTCTGTGTAACCATGTTTAGAGGAGGGAGTGAACTTAACTCTGGTAGACTTACATTCTGTGTAGCCATGTTTGGAGGAGGGAGTGAACTTTCCTCTGGTAGACTTACATTCTGTGTGGCCATGTTTAGAGGAGGGAGTGAACTTAACTCTGGTAGACTTACATTCTGTGTGGCCATGTTTAGAGGAGGGAGTGAACTTAACTCTGGTAGACTTACATTCTGTGTAGCCATGTTTAGAGGAGGGAGTGAACTTTCCTCTGGTAGACTTACATTCTGTGTAGCCATGTTTAGAGGAGGGAGTGAACTTTCCTCTGGTAGACTTACATTCTGTCTAGCCATGTTTAGAGGAGGGAGTGAACTTAACTCTGGTAGACTTACATTCTGTGTAGCCATGTTTAGAGGAGGGAGTGAACTTAACTCTGGTAGACTTACATTCTGTGTAGCCATGTTTAGAGGAGGGAGTGAACTTAACTCTGGTAGACTTACATTCTGTGTAGCCATGTTTAGAGGAGGGAGTGAACTTAACTCTGGTAGACTTACATTCTTAGCCATGTTTAGAGGAGGGAGTGAACTTTCCTCTGGTAGACTTACATTCTGTGTGGCCATGTTTAGAGGAGGGAGTGAACTTTCCTCTGGTAGACTTACATTCTGTGTGGCCATGTTTAGAGGAGGGAGTGAACTTTCCTTTGATGGACTTACATTCTGTGTAGCCATGTTTAGAGGAGGGAGTGAACTTTCCTCTGGTAGACTTACATTCTGTGTGGCCATGTTTAGAGGAGGGAGTGAACTTTCCTCTGGTAGACTTACATTCTGTGTGGCCATGTTTAGAGGAGGGAGTGAACTATCCTTTGATGGACTTACATTCTGTGTAGCCATGTTTAGAGGAGGGAGTGAACTTTCCTCCGGTAGACTTACATTCTGTGTGGCCATGTTTAGAGGAGGGAGTGAACTTAACTCTGGTAGACTTACATTCTGTGTGGCCATGTTTAGAGGAGGGAGTGAACTTTCCTCTGGTAGACTTACATTCAGTGTAGCCATGTTTGGAGGAGGGAGTGAACTTAACTCTGGTAGACTTACATTCTGTGTAGCCATGTTTGGAGGAGGGAGTGAACTTTCCTCTGGTAGACTTACATTCTGTGTAGCCATGTTTGGAGGAGGGAGTGAACTTAACTCTGGTAGACTTACATTCTGTGTAGCCATGTTTGGAGGAGGGAGTGAACTTAACTCTGGTAGACTTACCGGTACAATCTGTGTAGTCATGTTTGGAGGAGGGAGTGAACTTACTCTGGTAGACTTACTTTCTGTGTAGCCATGTTTGGAGGAGGGTGTGAACTTTCCTCTGGTAGGCTTACATTCTGTGTGGCCATGTTTAGTGGAGGGAGTGAACTTTCCTTTGGTAGGCTTACATTCTGTGTGGCCATGTTTAGTGGAGGGTGTGAACTTAACTCTGGTAGGCTTACATTCTGTGTGGCCATGTTTAGTGGAGGGTGTGAACTTTCCTCTGGTAGGCTTACATTCTGTGTGGCCATGTTTAGTGGAGGGTGTGAACTTAACTCTGGTAGACTTACATTCTGTGTGGCCATGTTTAGAGGAGGGAGTGAACTTAACTCTGGTAGACTTCCATTCTGTGTGGCCATGTTTAGAGGAGGGAGTGAACTTTCCTCTGGTAGACTTACATTCTGTGTAGCCATGTTTAGAGGAGGGAGTGAACTAAACTCTGGTAGACTTACATTCTGTGTAGCCATGTTTGGAGGAGGGAGTGAACTTTCCTCTGGTAGACATACATTCTGTGTAACCATGTTTAGAGGAGGGAGTGACCTTAACTCTAGTAGACTTACATTCTGTCTAGCCATGTTTAGAGGAGGGAGTGAACTTAACTCTGGTAGACTTACATTGTGAGTAGCCATGTTTAGAGGAGGGCGTGAACTTTCCTCTGGTAGACTTACATTCTGTGTGGCCATGTTTAGAGGAGGGAGTGAACTTTCCTCTGGTAGACTTACATTCTGTGTGGCCATGTTTAGAGGAGGGAGTGAACTATCCTTTGATGGACTTACATTCTGTGTAGCCATGTTTAGAGGAGGGAGTGAACTTTCCTCTGGTAGACTTACATTCTGTGTGGCCATGTTTAGAGGAGGGAGTGAACTTAACTCTGGTAGACTTACATTCTGTGTGGCCATGTTTAGAGGAGGGAGTGAACTTTCCTCTGGTAGACTTACATTCTGTGTAGCCATGTTTGGAGGAGGGAGTGAACTTAACTCTGGTAGACTTACATTCTGTGTAGCCATGTTTGGAGGAGGGAGTGAACTTTCCTCTGGTAGACTTACATTCTGTGTAGCCATGTTTGGAGGAGGGAGTGAACTTAACTCTGGTAGACTTACATTCTGTGTAGCCATGTTTGGAGGAGGGAGTGAACTTAACTCTGGTAGACTTACCGGTACAATCTGTGTAGCCATGTTTGGAGGAGGGAGTGAACTTTACTCTGGTAGACTTACATTCTGTGTAGCCATGTTTGGAGGAGGGTGTGAACTTTCCTCTGGTAGGCTTACATTCTGTGTGGCCATGTTTAGTGGAGGGAGTGAACTTTCCTCTGGTAGGCTTACATTCTGTGTGGCCATGTTTAGTGGAGGGTGTGAACTTAACTCTGGTAGGCTTACATTCTGTGTGGCCATGTTTAGTGGAGGGTGTGAACTTTCCTCTGGTAGGCTTACATTCTGTGTGGCCATGTTTAGTGGAGGGTGTGAACTTAACTCTGGTGGACTTACATTCTGTGTGGCCATGTTTAGTGGAGGGAGTGAACTTTCCTCTGGTAGGCTTACATTCTGTGTGGCCATGTTTAGTGGAGGGTGTGAACTTAACTCTGGTAGGCTTACATTCTGTGTGGCCATGTTTAGTGGAGGGTGTGAACTTTCCTCTGTTAGACTTACATTCTGTGTAGCCATGTTTGGAGGAGGGAGTAAACTTTCCTCTGGTGGACTTACATTCTGTGTGGCCATGTTTAGAGGAGGGAGTGAACTATCCTTTGATGGACTTACATTCTGTGTGGCCATGTTTAGTGGAGGGAGTGAACTTTCCTTTGGTGGACTTACATTCTGTGTGGCCATGTTTAGTGGAGGGTGTGAACTTTCCTCTGTTAGACTTACATTCTGTGTAGCCATGTTTGGAGGAGGGAGTAAACTTTTCTCTGGTGGACTTACATTCTGTGTGGCCATGTTTAGAGGAGGGAGTGAACTTAACTCTGGTAGACTTACATTCTGTGTGGCCATGTTTAGAGGAGGTAGTGAACTTAACTCTGGTAGACTTACATTCTGTGTAGCCATGTTTAGAGGAGGGAGTGAACTTTCCTCTGGTAGACTTACATTCTGTGTGGCCATGTTTAGAGGAGGGAGTGAACTTACCTCTGGTAGACTTACATTCTGTGTGGCCATGTTTAGAGGAGGGAGTGAACTTAACTCTGGTAGACTTACATTCTGTGTGGCCATGTTTAGAGGAGGGAGTGAACTTAACTCTGGTAGACTTACATTCTGTGTGGCCATGTTTAGAGGAGGGAGTGAACTTTCCTCTGGTAGACTTACATTCTGTGTGGCCATGTTTAGAGGAGGGAGTGAACTTAACTCTGGTAGACTTACATTCTGTGTAGCCATGTTTGGAGGAGGAGGCTTTCTGTTGAGCAAAGCATCAACAATCTGTTGTCCTGACAATATGTCCTCGCTCTGAACTGTAAACAGTGGACTGTCCCATCGCTGGTTTGAGTTTGGAGGCTCAAATCTCATTATCAGGGCATCAAGTCTGTACAATACAGTGCAATAATCAAACAATTATCACATAATGTCAATTTAAAAGTTTTCTGAATTACTTCCCCTTGAATAGCCCTCATCATTTTGAGGTTTTATTGTAGAAGCTTGTCGCTACCTCACTGAATATGATGCAGGAGGCCCCTTCTAACAAGTACAAGCAAAAATAATTTCTGTTTTTTTTATGGACAATAATAATGTTTATATTAAAGATGGTTTGGGAATATTCATAAACACTACACAACATAATTCAGCTCATTACATCAGAGTTTTTTAATATGTTTTTATGTAGAAATCGGCCTATGCCTAATATAAACTCATTTATCACAGGTCAATACAGAATTGCAAACACACAGAACATAATCCTGAAAAAGTCTGACTCTAAGTATGAGTTACTGTGTTGGCCCCTGGACTTACTGTCCTGTAACAAGCCCAGTCTGACTCTAAGTAGGAATTACTGTGTTGGCCCCTGGACTTACTGTCCTGTAACAAGCCCAGTCTGACTCTAAGTAGGAATTACTGTGTTGGCCCCTGGACTTACTGTCCTGTAACAAGCCCAGTCTGACTCTAAGTAGGAATTACTGTGTTGGCCCCTGGACTTACTGTCCTGTAACAAGCCCAGTCTGACTCTAAGTAGGAATTACTGTGTTGGCCCCTGGACTTACTGTCCTGTAACAAGCCCAGTCTGACTCTAAGTAGGAATTACTGTGTTGGCCCCTGGACTTACTGTCCTGTAACAAGCCCAGTCTGACTCTAAGTAGGAATTACTGTGTTGGCCCCTGGACTTACTGTCCTGTAACAAGCCCAGTCTGACTCTAAGTAGGAATTACTGTGTTGGCCCCTGGACTTACTGTCCTGTAACAAGCCCAGTCTGACTCTAAGTAGGAATTACTGTGTTGGCCCCTGGACTTACTGTCCTGTAACAAGCCCAGTCTGACTCTAAGTAGGAATTACTGTGTTGGCCCCTGGACTTACTGTCCTGTAACAAGCCCAGTCTGACTCTAAGTAGGAATTACTGTGTTGGCCCCTGGACTTACTGTCCTGTAACAAGCCCAGTCTGACTCTAAGTAGGAATTACTGTGTTGGCCCCTGGACTTACTGTCCTGTAACAAGCCCAGTCTGACTCTAAGTAGGAATTACTGTGTTGGCCCCTGGACTTACTGTCCTGTAACAAGCCCAGTCTGACTCTAAGTAGGAATTACTGTGTTGGCCCCTGGACTTACTGTCCTGTAACAAGCCCAGTCTGACTCTAAGTAGGAATTACTGTGTTGGGCTTATTGTACCTTAATAAGCCCATCCTGTCTATGAGTTAGAATCAATGTGTTCAACCCCGGGCTTATTGTACCTTAATAAGCCCATCCTGACTATGAGTTAGAATCAATGTGTTCAACCCCGGTCTTATTGTACCTTTATAAGCCCATCCTGACTATGAGTTAGAATCAATGTGTTCAACCCCGGGCTTATTACAGAATGAAAACCATCATCTTGTATTTCTTCACAATGTTTTAATTTTGTTCTTTTCTACACTCACATCTCCTGTGTGTAGCGTTCCTCTGGAGGTCTGTCTTGGTTCCAAGCTGACACGGAATCTTTGTTACTATCGCAGAATACCTAATAAAAACAAAAACAATGCCTTAAGTACCACAATCTGGACTTTTTATTCTATATTTTAATTCATAAAAGTGTGCTAGCTTCCGTCCTTTTTCAAGAGTTAATATTGTAAAACAACAGAAATTCTCAATTATTTAACATCAATCAGCAACAAATCAAAAAAATCGGTCAAAACAGACAGAATGTGTCAATTGGAAGAAAAGCAACAGATATTGTCACTAAGTCAAAAATCTCAACACCAAATCATCACTAAAAACAGACAGAATGTGTCAATTGGAAGAAAAGCAACAGATATTGTCACTAAGTCAAAAATCTCAACACCAAATCATCACTAAAAACAGACAGAATGTGTCAATTGGAAGAAAAGCAACAGATATTGTCACTAAGTCAAAAATCTCAACACCAAATCATCACTAAAAACAGACAGAATGTGTCAATTGGAAGAAAAGCAACAGATATTGTCACTAAGTCAAAAATCTCAACACCAAATCATCACTACAAACAGACAGAATGTGTCAATTGGAAGAAAAGCAACAGATATTGTCACTAAGTCAAAAATCTCAACACCAAATCATCACTAAAAACAGACAGAATGTGTCAATTGGAAGAAAAGCAACAGATATTGTCACTAAGTCAAAAATCTCAACACCAAATCATCACTAAAAACAGACAGAATGTGTCAATTGGAAGAAAAGCAACAGATATTGTCACTAAGTCAAAAATCTCAACACCAAATCATCACAGACAGAATGTGTCAATTGGAAGAAAAGCAACAGATATTGTCACTAAGTCAAAAATCTCAACACCAAATCATCACTAAAAACGGACAGAATGTGTCAATTGGAAGAAAAGCAACAGATATTGTCACTAAGTCAAAAAATCTCAATCATCACTAAAAATGGACAGAATGTGTCAATTTGAAGAAAAGCAACAGATATTGTCACTAAGTCAAAAATAACCAAACAGACAGAATGTGTCTTTGAAGAAAAGCACTATAAAACAAAAATCTCAACACAAAATCACTCAAAAACAGAAAATTGAAGAAAAACAGATATTGTCACTAAGTCAAAAATCTCAACACCAAATCATCACTACAAACAGAATGTGTCAATTGGAAGAAAAGCAACAGATATTGTCACTAAGTCAAAAATCTCAGCAACATTGTCACTAATCAAAAATCTCAACACCAAATCACTAAAAACAGACAGAATGTCAATTATGGAAGAAAAGCAACAGATATTGTCAATAAGTCAAAAATGTCAACAAAAATCATCACTAAAAACAGACAGAATGTGTAAATTGGAAGAAAAGCAACAGATATTGTCACTAAGTCAAAAATCTCAACACCAAATCATCACTAAAAACAGACAGAATGTGTCAATTGGAAGAAAAGCAACAGATATTGTCACTAAGTCAAAAATCTCAACACCAAATCATCACTACAAACAGACAGAATGTGTCAATTTGAAGAAAAGCAACAGATATTGTCACTAAGTCAAAAATCTCAACACCAAATCATCACTAAAAACAGACAGAATGTGTCAATTGGAAGAAAAGCAACAGATATTGTCACTAAGTCAAAAATCTCAACACCAAATCATCACTAAAAACAGACAGAATGTGTCAATTTGAAGAAAAGCAACAGATATTGTCACTAAGTCAAAAATCTCAACACCAAATCATCACTAAAAACAGACAGAATGTGTCAATTGGAAGAAAAGCAACAGATATTGTCACTAAGTCAAAAATCTCAACACCAAATCATCACTAAAAACTGACAGAAACTGTAATTGAGACAAAAGAAACAGAAATTGTCAATTAAACAAAAACTGACAGAAACTGTCAATGAGACAAAAGCAAAAGAAACAGACATTGTTGATGGGTCAGAAACTGTCAGATAAATGAAAAACATAATAAATTGTCAAGAAATCAAAAACAACACAAAAACAATCAAAATAAAACAAGAAAAATTATTAATTAGTGTAGAAAAAGATAATTTTAATGAGTTTAAAAAAAGCTAGAATTATCAATGGAAAGAAAAAACAAACAACACAAAATATCTATCAACAGTTAAAATGAACTTACTGTACACTGTGGGGTTTGGCATGCCTTTGTTATGCAATACAGCTCATATCTGAAACCTGAAGCAAAGAATCAAGGCAATGCATGACAAAAAGGTTTTTGTCAGTTAGAAATAATATATCACAGAAATAGTAGACAAATATTTATATGGAAAGAGATTACTAACAATTCAATCAAATCTCCAATATAAAATTAACAATTCTTTGTATTGTATTATCAACAAGCGTCATTTTACCAAGAGAGAACATTTACTGCAGACATGACTGATCAAGAGATGCAGACTAATGAAGATATAATGAGGAAGTTGTACTGTTATGATAATGATCTCCTTGGGAAAATTTCCTTGTGATGCTGGATGTGTTTAATTTTCATTAGTATGTCTTGTGGTTCCATTGTTTACCTTGTTCTCATTTGGGAACATGACATTATTATTCAAATTGACCAAGATTTACATGGTGGGTATCATCAATGAAGCAGAAGATGGTTATTCTTCCAGAGCACCTGGTCTTTTTCTCCTCCTACTTTTCAGGAGTCTCAATGTAAGTCTCTCTTTGGTTTGTGATTTTCCCTAATTTCAATGAAGTTGAATTCCGTCAACATGCTAGTATTTTTTCTGTAACATAGTTTGTATATTAATCACATGCATCCTGGGGACATAACATGTGTTGTGTGGCACTATTTTAGTGATGCAAGTGTTTAAAAATTCAAAGTCAACTCCATGGAAATCATTCATTATTTATTATAATATTAGAAGATATGGGTCAATAACTTGTGGCAATCTTCTGAGGGCTAGTCACATGTTGCAGGTTTCACACATACTGTAACTCACCTTTGATATAGTTCAGGGAATCCAAAATCACAACATCTTCTTTGTTAATGTGCCTACAAAATAAAAACCAAATTAAAACTTTGATGAATAAACTTACATACCCAATAGTCTTCCATCTATTGGTAACATAACTTCCTGCATACTACCCACAACACAGACTATGCATGCCTATAATGATAATAAAAATAATATTTATTCGGGCAAAAAGACAACAGTACAGTATAAGACAAAAGTGTACCTACAATGTACACGTATAATTACAAAGGGATTATATATACATTTATATTATAAGATACAAGATATTAGCGTTATAGAACTATGTCTATGGTTGTCCCTTTACCTGGGATGACCCATCAAAGCTAAAAGCCTATTTCCAATGGGTCCCTACGCATGGCCTATCTTTAAACGCTAGTGTATTTGCAGATCATATGCCAACTTAACACTTTTCCCCACAGGGGTTTACATTCATGTTTTGTGACCCATACCACTATATTTGTAGACGTTTGTAACAAAATCCTATGTCCCAAACAATTACAATACTTGTTTTGTGATTTCAAAATCCTACCCAATACAATTACAATATCCTATGTCCCAAACAATTACAATACTTGTTAATGTACGTACCTCTGAACGGCAGATTTCAAAATCCTATGTCCCAAACAATTACAATACTTGTTAATGTACGTACCTCTGAACGGCAGATTTCAAAATCCTATGTCCCAAACAATTACAATACTTGTTAATGTACGTACTTGTTAATGCTCTGAACGGCAGATTTCAAAATCCTATGTCCCAAACAATTACAATACTTGTTAATGTACGTACCTCTGAACGGCAGATTTCAAAATCCTATGTCCCAAACAATTACAATACTTGTTAATGTACGTACCTCTGAACGGCAGATTTCAAAATCCTATGTCCCAAACAATTACAATACTGGTTTAATGTACGTACCTCTGAACGGCAGATTTCAACGTACCACGCACTTCCTTTTCTTTTTTCGAGTCTGAATGATAAACAAAAGCTGTGTTTTGAAACGAAATACTATAAAATGTTAACCATAAAATAAAGTAAGCGACAAAATGAACGTAGACATAGAAAAGTAGGCATAGTCATAACATTTCCAACATGCAATCCATCACTAGCATCAGCCAATCATTGTCAAATCCGTCAAAACGGGTGACTCAATGACGAAATCAGAGGAACAGTTACCTGCGTATACGAGGTTTCTGTTTACTCCAATGGAGTGGTCACTAAAAACAGTCACTGCTACTTTACAATGCTCTTCCAAATACTGTTTGATCTCCTTAGTACGCGTGCTTTTCCCACTGCAAGGAAAACCACACATCACAATACACGGCATACCTATGACCATAGATGTATTTCCGAAATAACGGAAGTACTTGTCTTCGGAACACAAACGATATTGCGCGGGAAACAGAAACCACACTTAACGCGCCATAATCGGGTATGCCAGTAGTATTGAAAGAAGAACTTGAGCCAGTTGCAAAGAAATCGAAGACAATGCCTACTAGTGGTATTCTTAAATTCGCTCGTTTGACTAAGCATGCCTATAGTCCATCACGGGGTTCTAAACTAGCCGCTGGATATGATTTGTACAGGTACAGTATGATAGCAAAAGGTACTTTGGTACGTCTGATTTGTGGTACTCGAGTACCGACACCGTTTTTTGTCACAGAGTATTATTTATTAGAATAAATAAGGGCGGAAATCAAACAACGAGTGTTCAGTGATCAATGTAAAACGCTTTGGGAATTGCCAAATACGTTAGGAGAAATTAATGGCACGTTCCTCTTCAAAAACTAAAATCTGCATCAGCTAACACCTGATAATGAAGGCGAGTTGTGAATGTAATGGTATATAACTGGATTCCAGAAATGCTTCACGTAATAATTGAGGTTTAATAACCACACTCATGCCAACAAATATCACTATAAAATACATGTTTCTCCATTTGATCATATTTGCTGTACATAGTTCCTATTTTTTTCAGTGCCTACGATTATATGATTCCAGCTAGAGGTAAACAAGTAGTGAAAACAGACATTCAGATAGCCCTGCCAGATGGATGTTATGGACGTATAGGTCAGTAATTCTTTTATTTTAAGTTTCCTGATCCATATTTCCATGTGCTTACTCTTTTAAATAGGGCAGACCTAGAGGAAAAATTTTGCAAAGGTACCATCCTCGATAATCCAGGGGTTACCCTTAAGATCACTCTTTGCTCAACTGAAGCTATATGGTTGGTCTAAAGCAGGTTTCAGAATTAAAAAAAACTGACCAATTATAGAGCGAGATGTTCCTTTGAAGATTACAAAGGAGCGACACCAAACTTCAAAGTGAGTACCACATAGTGTTATTCAAACTCAAGATCTGTTTGATGTACATCAAAGGATCAAAGTAGTCTTCTTATCCACAAGGTGTCACACATGGAACCTTCAAATTTGCTATGAAATGTTCCAGGGGTGATTGATAGTGTAATCCCTGGAGTGTCGAGGATGGTTAGGTACAAGAAGGTAGACTAACAAAATACTTATGTTTTATACAGGAGATCTCGACTTTAACAATGTTTCTTTAAAACCATTGCCCAGGAAAGTTTATAATAGGTACAAATTACAAGGGTAGTTAGTGTTACAGTAAAATACTTTTTAATAGGTTGTGAAAACGGTCTTCATACCTTTTTCATGATTTTTTTAACAATCCCCAAAAATTAGTGATTTCATGGACTATGATGTTGCTGAGAGATCTTTAAATAGTAAAAACTTTTTAAGAAAAATTTGTTTTTGATAAAAAGAGGTGTGAAAATATAGATACAATGCAACTTTCCCACACTTCTCTAAACCAATCGCCTTTATAAAAACCTTCCCAATACTGAGCCCTCTCCATTCCAAATATCAAACTGATTTTGTGTTCAAAAATGATTGAAATATACTGAAAATCACTTCTGAAAACTGAACATGAACAATCCAGACCAGAGTTCTGACCAGTGAACCATGGAATCAACACCTGTCATGAGTAGGCCGCACTCCAAATCTACCCTGGTCGAGAGGATTATAAGTAAGATAATATATAGTTATACCTGAAATCTTATGGAATGAGTTTATTATTTTACCAAACAGAGAACAGCTACAGATAAAGTGAAAATAAGTACTGATGCAGAGCTAGAAAGCCACAGCTTTGGAATCTTAATTGTAGGTAATTGAATTATACAGAATGGACATATTAATTAAATGTTGATTTATATGATGTTGGTTGAACATATACAAACTTCTATATCAAATAGTTCATTGGTAACATAACTTCCTGCATACTAACTTATGTGTAAACACATATTCATCAAGTATATTGGTTGGTAACCAAGCCAATCATCTGAATGGGGCTACATGGGGCCGTGTGTGACGTTTCTGCTGACGTTGCTGAGCAATGTGCAGATTTCATTTCAGCTGACGTCATATATGGTATACATGCATTACTTTTTTTCACTTTTCCAAACTATTTTTACTCTATAAGGAGTTTTCTACTGTATTCTGATGGCGATGTGTGTGCTGAACTGAGTGGTTTATGTAATGTACAAAAACAAAATCAGTTCAGTTATATCAGTCCCGACCTGTCAACTTTCTTCACGTTACAAACTGAACCCTTCCTTAAGTGCCCAAATATTCATCTCCCATACATGATCAGTTTGGAGAAGTTCCACTGTATCAATTAATTCTAATGGAAAGTTATTTGTAAAATAAATTACTGTTTTTTCTTTATTTCAGCACCAAGATCTGGTCTTGCAGCTAAACACTTCATAGATGTTGGAGGTTTGTAGTACAACAATGGCAATGCCCATATTACCAGAGTTTTTATTGAGGGCTTTCTGGGGCAGATAATGGGCCCCATTTCCAATTGAAATTATTTTCTTAAAAATGAGGCAGAAATCCCTTATCTCAAATTACTAAATACATGTCAGGTTTACTTCTACAAAATTCAATTCGCCCTGAGCTGCAGTTAAGTAAATTCATGAATTGTCCATAAGTAGATAATTAAACATGATAAATGAATTAATGTGTGATTATAAAGTATGTTTTTGATGTTTGGACAGCGGGAGTGATAGACCAAGATTACAGAGGAAATGTTTGTGTACTCCTGTTCAACCATAGCGAGAATGAGTTCAAAGGTTAGTAGACTAACTCACTTGTACAGCTGCTTTCCAAGGGGATGAGACATTAACTTTACACTGTCATAGAGTCTCCTTAAGCTCAGTCTCTGACCCATCACAAATGAAATGTATAGACAGGAGAAAATGTCATTCAACACACACTAGTGCTGTAAATACATGTCTTTGTGTGCAGTTGTTTATAGTTCACTGTTCATTGGGAGGGAAAAAAAGCATTTCTGGAGAGTTGATTTTGCCACCTAGTATAGATACTCGATCAAACAAAGTGTCTCTTGATCAGAATATTGTTTTCATTAGGTGTGCTCAGAAAATAAGTATTTTACCAGGTAAGTAATCAGGTAGACACTAAGTAACTTTTCACACCTGGACTACATTCTGTCATGGCTGTCAGAGAAACTGATGATTGAACCTTTTGTTATCAACATAGAATCAACCAAGTTATCTCCAGAAAGATTTCTTTCAGCATTCTATATATTTGTGAAGAATGTAATTTCACAAAGTCAATGTTTGAGTCGCAATTTATATTCCAAGAAACAAATAATGTAGATGTATATCAGCTGGTCATATTTTCATTTTATGCCACGATCATCTCGAATATCAAAGGATAAAAGATACAAATATCACATGATTGTTCTGGTGTGAATGAATAATCTCCAGTTTCAGAAAAAGTCTGTATTGGTCTTTCATGTCTACACTGCGAATTTGACTCGTCCAACTGTGTTACTACTCTGATTTTAATTCTGTGTACCCGTGATGTCATGTGAAGTTGCAAAAAAAGTCTGCTGTATCCTTTGTGACATCCTGAGAGTCATAAAACACATTTGTGTTACTCACCAATTAAGCATTGTTGTACGTAGGATGTAGCTGGCCAAACGTTTATCTGACTCGATTTTAAGCATCAAACATAGAATTAGGATGATCATTTGTGTGTCTTTACAGTGCTCCAGATAGCCTGCGTGAACGCATTTTCATGCACAATATTTCTAATTTCACGCTAGGAAAAAAATAAGATTTGCGTCATTAACCCGTGCGAAATCCGGACTCTTCGTCAATGTCCGGCTCCAATATTAGGTAGTTAGAAAACTCAATAATCTAAGTCAAACAGACACTTATCAAGTAAACGAAACTCGTAACAAGCGCTTTCTTGATCGTGATTATAAACCAGTCGCATAGCAAATATGGCACTGTCAAAACCTCAACAATCGTTGTTAAAAATGGGTTTTACCCGTAAAGATAAGCCTGATCGCGGTATCGACGTATTTGTGAGAGAAATATTAGATCATATTATACAACAAGTAGGAAGAAAACACCATAGAGGATTTTCGAAGAAGGAAACCATCGATACATGGGAAAGGAATTACCCTTGGTTAAAGGTGGAAGTCATCAATCGGACAGATGGTCGTAACGACCTGAATTTAAAATGTACTTTGTGCACAGCAAGTAACAAAACTAATTCATTCACCAGAGGGTGTAGTTACGTCCAACGAAGTGCATTGACACGTCATGAGCAATCGGAGGATCATGTCTCTGCAGCACTAGCGGATAAAACTGCTTCTACACCACGAAGATTAGACAATGTAGAGCTAGCACAATGTGACGTAGACGATACCTATACAGCCGACGAGTGTACAAAAACTGTGTTTAGAACAGTGTAGTACGCTGCCAAAGAAATGATTCCGTCGGAAAAAATTAATTCATTACTAGACCTACAAAGATTAAATGGTGTAAAAATCTCAATGAAAGATTTGAGCTGGGACACTATCAGAGACATTCAGGACACAATCGCTGATTCAATAACTAGAGAACAAGTGGAAATGTTAAAAGAGTCAAAACTTTTTTCCATTATGATTGATGAACGCCAAGACCTTGGTAAGTATTTTGAAAGTATTATTAAACACTTTTGACAGCACGTCAAATATGAAAATAATGAGTAAATTTAACCTTAATATGAAAGAAATATTTCTTCAAAAAATATTCCAAGAAAAATTTAAAAGATACTGAAATGATCAATGAAAAAAAATTGGTGGAAAAACTGTACAATATTTTTTTTTCTGTCAAAATGATTTACTGAAAATAAACTACATATTATCTTATTCAATCATTGATTTGGTTAAGCATTAAAAAAAAAACCATTAGTTTTAGTTGGTGTTCAATGTTTTATAAATTAATTCCAGGTGTTGAGAAGAAACTTTCGATGTGTGTGAGGTACGTGTCATCTGGTGAGTTGAAAACCCAATTCCTCGGAAATGTTGAAGTTGAAGATGGAAAAGCACATACCATTGTCAACGCTGTCCACGATTATCTAACTAGTCTTGGTATTGATATGTCATCACTTGTATGTCTAGGAACTGATGGGGCCGCAGCGATGTTTGGAAGGAAAATAGGTGTTGGTGTGCAACTCTTAGCTAAATACTCTCCATTCATGGTGCATACTCATTGCATTGCACATAGACTCGCGTTAGCCTGTAGTGATACCATAAAAGATAAGTTATTAAGTGAACTACAAACTTTCAAAACACGTTTCAATTCGCTCTTTTGGTTTTTCAATACCTCTGCATGCAGGTCAAATAAACTAAAACAAGTTCAAGAATCTGGAGGACCCATTATTAAAAATAAAGGAACCACATAATGTACGATGGTTATCATTGAGTCAGGCAGTGTCTGCTGTTTACAAATCGTTTCCTTCCATAGTTACAGCCTTGTCATCTATTGCTCATGATGGGAATGCTACAGCAGAATCTCATTTTAAATATTTTAGTTCATCTAAAGTGTGTATGATTACATCAATGATGATGGATGTTCATGAGTTACTTAACAAATTAAGTAAGGAATTACAAAAACAGTCCCTCCTGTTCAGTGAGATAAAACCTTTATTTGAGGGTACTGTCTCTGCTCTTGAAGCTTTACAGGATCATGAAGGTCATTACGAAAGTGAGTGTCTGGAACTTCTTCGGTAGAATTCTGAGAATGGAAACACAAACATGAAAGGAGTAGAATTGAAAAATTTTAGTGATACTACTGTAAATAGCTTTAAAAGTTTAAAGAAAAAGTATCTCAGATGTTTGATTGAGAACATGAATTCCCGTTTGGATCAACATTCGAGTGACATCATAAGTGAGATGGGGATGGTGTTTGAGCCCAAGCACTTTGTGGAGGAACTGGCAGATGGTGCTATCATGAAACTAGGAGATCACTATGGTACATCCAAACAAGTGAATTTATTTTATGATGATCAGAATCATAAACAAGATGTTTCAAAAATCTTAGATAAAGATGGTCTTCGTACAGAGTGGACTGTCGTGAAAGGAATGCTTAAAGGTGCATACAAGTCATTAGAAACTGACATGTTCTGTAAACGCATGATTTTACTTCACTCAGAACTGGTAACAATTTTTTCTATTTTGGCAAGGGTTGCTCTAACACTGTGCATTACTTCTGTGGAATGTGAACGCTCCTTCAGTGTCCAGAATCGCTTAAAATCTAGATATAGATGCTCCCTTAAAGCGACCACAGTAAACACTTTGATGAAATTAAATATACTTGGACCCAAACTTACAGAATTCGAGCCTAAAAAGGCAGTCCAAATTTGGACAGCAAAGAAAAAAAGAAGGATGTGTGTATTGTTCAAACTGAAAAAAATCTTCAGTAAGTCAGTTGGTGCAGTCTTCTACTTGATGCATATGTGAATGAAAAATAATGCATCCTACAAATGTGTTAATAGTAACTTAAAACTGAACTAAGTCTAACATTTTGATTTATTTCATACAATTACAAGACGTGAATCAAGTATGTGCTGTTAAATACAATTTAAAGTGGTATAGTGCTTTAACCTATATGTTTAATTCCTGAGAATGACAAACAACTGAAATAGTGCTATGATCTGTTTTATTGTCAAAAACAAATAATGAAATGAATAAAATTTTAGTATAAAAATAAGGCTTGTTATAGTTTTTATCATGTACAGTAATTAAATATAATATTTACAAATTCAGTGTTACCCTTATATGGAAAAACCCATACACTTGATGAAGGCAGGGGTGAAAAAACCCCTCCATTTATAAAGGTAGGAGTGAAAACCCCACATGTCAAAAAGTTATCTGGAGCACTGTCTTTAAAGCAAATTCATTTATCAAAACAATAAAATATTCTGAAATCGGCTGCATTAAGCCAGGTTGTTTACACGGACATAAAAATGGCAGGCTTGGGTTCTACTTTGATCTCTAGAGCATTGATGACGGGGAAAACAGAATCAAACCATTAAAACTAATTAAATACATGAAATTGAGAAATTTATTGTTAAAATTGAACAGGAACACATATAACTTGTATATAAATGAGTGACACAATGAACACATTAAACATGGAAAGATGTTTTAATTCTTTGTTTTTATCACTTTTTACAGCATCGTATACAAATAATGTTTTATAGGGGAAGCCATTGGTCTTGTGTATAACGCTCATCACAGGTGCCGATTATATACATAAATTCAGGTTCCTTTTTTGATTCACCTGTGTTTTAAAGAGTTACTGGCCCTTGTTGATTTCATAATCTTAGTCTTGTCCACACATCTATCTCAGTTTTCAACAGATTTCTTTCAAACTTAGCAGGCTTTATCACTATAACATGAAGTTGTTTCAATTTGTTTTCACTACTTTCTCTGGTATTATATAACTATGACATGAAACTATTTCTCCATGGATTGTGATTGTAACATTTTTAGGTCAGCTGACACAAAGCCTCAGGGTGACCTGTTGTGACCACCTTTTGTCCGGCATTGTGCATTGTAAACTTGTAATATTTTCAACTTCTGGAAAACTTCAGAACTGATCAGTGAAATTTTACAAAATTCTTCCTTGGCTTAAGGCACACCAAACTTGTAAATATATTGTCCCCAACCCCCGGGGCTTGAGGGGCAGGGCCAAAAAGTGTCAAATTGATTGACAAGTAAAAAATCTTCTTCTCAAATCCCAGGTTTGGTAGAATCAAGTACTCTTCATAGATGGTAAAGTGTTCAGATGCCACAGTATCACATTTCCCCCATAGATGATGGCAAGGTCTACTCTAGATTATATCGGAAAATGATAGGTTTTACATTATTTGCTAGGTTATGTGACCCTACTCCTCACCAAAACCATTTGCTTCATGGAAAACAGCTTTTTAGTAAGATTTCATTCAAAGTAGAAAAAATGAGCCTTCTCCCTGCTGAAAGTGTTTGTAGTCAGATGTTATTTCCTGGATAGAAAGATTAGTTTAAGATGTCAGTTTAATGAGATGCATATAATGACCTTGGCTGACCCCCAGCAGCTGATGGGTCGGGCAAAAAATTGATCAAATTGATCTTACCAGAGATTCATTCAGTTCTCCACCCATCTCTTTTAAAACTTGGTTTTAATTTATCATTGAACCATTATTGTCCTCGTGAATCTCATCATCAATACTCCATGTTTGTAAAGTTTCAAATTTTGAACATTTCTGGACCATGGGACAGGTATATATCCATCTGCCCTGCAGTCATGTTTTCTTATCGTTATCATTTGTTACCATGGGAACAAGTTTTAAAAAATCACTTTTCAGGTCATTGAGGCTATATAACTAGACAACCATTGAACTGATTTACAAGTAGTATATCATGATAGACAGATATCTTCAGTAAAGGTTGTACAACAAGTAGCTGGAAGCAGGGGATACAGTTCAGTGATTTTCATGCTTTGAAATCGATTTATTAATAACAGGTAATGTTGTTTACAATACAAAATTACTTGTTTACAGTAAATAAAGGTGACCGGATAGCACAGCTGATTTGTGAAAGGATTTACACACCAGAGCTTGAAGAATGTGAGGTATGCCAAGTTGATTACTAATTTGTATTCAATGATGTTGCATAAAAATGGAAACATTTCAAAAACTATTGGTATGTTATTTTCTTCAGAAATCACAAAATATTGGTTTATGCGAGATTTGGTTGATTGTTAAACAAAGTCACATTAAAGTGATTTTTTTTTCAGATTGATTGTGCATCCCTTCTGAGAATTGGGTAGCTCTAGAAGTTAAGCTATTGAAATTTTTATCCCTCCATCTTCAGATAGTGGGCTATTCAAATCGCTCTGCATCCGTGGTCTATCCGCCTTTCTGACCATAAACAATTTTTTATTGCTATTTCTTGATAAGTATGAGATGGGTCTTTCTCTGATTGCATATGCAGGTTCCTGGTGGTCCCTCGTTGTGCCCGTTTGATTTTGGGACTGATGAAAAATAAACCAAGATGGCTGACAGGCAGCCATCTTGGAATTTTTTCAATGAAGTTTGTTATCGCTATTTCTTGCTAAGTAAGAGAGGGATCTCTCTCAAATTTCAAATGTTGGTTCCCCTTGGTCCCTATTTGTGCCCTTATGATTTTGGGTGTAATCAAAAAAACAAAATGATGGACAAACAGCCATCTTGGATTTGACTTTGAAAGTTTGTTATCGCTGTTTCATGAGAACTACTGCATAGATCTCAAATTTCATATATAGGTTCCTGTTGGTCCCTAGTTGTGCCTGTGTGAGTTTGGAACTAACCAGAAAATTAAAATGGCTGACAGGCAGCCATCTTGGATTTTGCCAAGTAAATTCTTTACCTAGTTATTGCTATTTCTTAAGAAGTACCAAATGGATGTGTCTCAAATTTCATGTGTATGGTCCCTTTGGTCTCTCCTTGTGCTTGTTTGATTTTGGGACTGATCATAAGAAAGAAATAGCTGCCAGGCCGCCATTTTGGAATTGGCAGGTGAAGATTTTCATTGCTATTTCTGCAAAGGAATGTTCAAATTTCTTATCCTTAAGAGCGAAAACAGAAAGAAGAGAACAGATCAGAAGGGAAAAAAGATCCAACTTTAAAAGAGCATATAAAGATCAAACAATGGTGGGCGCAAAGATCCCACTGGGATCTCCTGTTTATAACCCTGTTAGTGTAGACTTTTAGATTGGGTCAGCTTTTCTAAATCAAAAACAGATCTATATTAGTCTCATGCTTTCATTGATTTTCAAAGTTATTTATTTTTGCTTCAGAAATTGGACGATACGGATCGTGGGTCTGGTGGATTTGGATCAACTGGGAAAAACTAGTAAATAAGAAGACATGCTGATTGGTGTCTGTGAAAAATTAAAATGTTTTGACTCAGTGGAACAAAAATAAGAATGCAATTATGTCAGAACAATGACATGTGTGTGTGTGTGAAAACTTACTTAAATGTTAACCAGATCTAGAAAATGTGAAGAAAGTGACGACAAATTACTACTAATACTACTCACACCAGATCTAGATAATGTTATTGCTGTATATGTACATATTTTTGTGTCTTCAGATATTGTGCTAAAATATCACAACTACATCAGTTTCTGTATATGATTAACATAACAAAAGCTTATTTGTTGAATATCATATTACGATAAAATTGTATTCTGTCAAAACATTAACAATATTTGATAAATTCTTGGTGTGATGTTGATACTTATATCTTTGTTTCTCCAGAGGAAAATCTATGTAGACTTGTGTGATATTCTGTAGATCTGTTTTCTTACTGTCCTAATTGTTCCTCCAGGGAGAAAATCTGTGTAGACTTGTGTGATATTCTGTAGATCTGTTTTCTAACTGTCCTAATTGTTTCTGCGGAGGAAAATCTATGTAAACTTGTGTGATATTCTGTAGATCTGTTTTCTTACTGTCCTAAATATCAGAGAAAGGCACACTGAAACATTTGTGATCTTCATGGCTGTAAATAATCCATGACAATAAAATACCACCAATTAGATTTCAGGTGAAGTACTATCAGTGCTCCATGTTGTACCGGTATAACTAACAATTAGATTTCAGGTGAAGTACTATCAGTGCTCCATGTTGTACCGGTATAACTAACAATTAGATTTCAGGTGAAGTACTATCAGTGCTCCCTGTTGTACAGGTATAACTAACGCCAAATTAGAGTAAAAAAAATCAAATAGTATTTCATTAAACTGCTAGTAAGTAATTAGTCTAACAAGACATCAGTTTACCTGGCTCATTATCATCTTCCACAGCTAATAATCACTCTATCAGTTATTTAGCGATTATCATTACGTAATTTGGTAATCCTGATACCGTATTTGATATAATAAGCGGTTTATAAGGAGATGTACTCAAGAAAAACATTAAAAAATCTATATCTAAGATGGTCTAAGATGGTTTTATTGCATGTGAAAAAAAACTTGTGATTTTGTAAATACATGAACTGTACAGTAGATTTTTTAGTACTGAATGTGTTTCTTTTACATCTAAGATGGTCTCACCCCCCCACCCCCCCCTTAAATGAAATTTTTAAGTGCCCTGGGTGCTTCTTGGATTGAATACGGTATCTCAAGGGTTGAGGCTTATGGTACTTGTAAGTCTAGGAAGATTGTCAATATCAAGTCAAAAGATGAATATAAATAGTGAATATTCAGAGCGCTGTCTTTTCCATCTGTTACAAGTACTGTAGAACTTCCTTTTTGCTGGACTTAATTTTTGCAATTTTAGTAAATTTGAAAATTCTGAATAATTGATTTTTTGAGCTACCCATGTGTTGAAATATGATGCATTACAAAACGGGCTGTATGGTTCCAAATTGTCTGGCGAATTCCTACCTCCTCTGGTTCTTAAATTCATATTTCCAAAGTTATATCTACAGTTTTCAATTAAATTGCTGAATTTTGATAAACCTCACTTGGATAGCTCCCAGATTTATTATGTAGATGAAGCTTAACATCCATCGATATAATATATATATATACAAACTACAAACAAACTTTCCTTTGAAGTACATACTAGATAATTGTGTTTTTATCATTTTTGCCTGCTTGTAGAAGTTGCCATATAAGTGTAGAAAATGTTTTGTTATTATTTGTATATTTACTTAGTTGTAGGATGCTCAACTATCGAAGATTTACCACCATCATGTGTTCAAAGTTTTGTACAGAGACCTATGTGTCTGGCTAAATATAACTAGGGAATCCCCTAATGATATTGTGTTCAATGTGATAAATGTGGCTAAATATAACTTTAGGGAATCCCCTAATGAAATTTTGTTCAATGTGATAAATGCTGTTAAAGAGAATCTTGTGTGCTAAATCTATAGTATAAAAAAAAATGTTTGTACAATGTATCATAACATGACAATTGAATGTAAATGTTATAATTATGATGTTAGAATTCATGTGTACAACCAAACCAAGTTTATGTTCACATTTATCCACAATATTGTGAGGTGGCTGAAGAGAGCAAAACATTGTATGATGTAAAAGTTCCTGTTTATTTATGCCACAGTATATATTAAGGTCTACATTTTCAATACAAGAATGAACTGTCACAGAGTCATTGTAGTGACATCAAACGTTGGGTCATTGTAGTGTCATCAAACAATGGGTCATTGTAGTGTCATCAAACACTGGGTCATTGTAGTGTCATCAAACACTTGGTCATTGTAGTGTCATCAAAGATTGGGTAATTGTAGTGTCATCAAACACTGGGTCATTGTAGTGTCATCAAACATTGGGTCATTGTAGTGTCATCACACATTGGGTCATTGTAGTGTCATCAAACACTTGGTCATTGTAGTGTCATCAAACATTGGGTCATTGTAGTGTCATCAAACATTGGGTCATTGTAGTGTCATCACACATTGGGTCATTGTAGTGTCATCAAACATTGGGTCATTGTAGTGTCATCAAACACTGGGTCATTGTAGTGTCATCAAACACTGGGTCATTGTAGTGTCATCAAACATTGGGTCATTGTAGTGTCATCACACATTGGGTCATTGTAGTGTCATCACACATTGGGTCATTGTAGTGTCATCAAACACTGGGTCATTGTAGTGTCATCACACATTGGGTCATTGTAGTGTCATCAAACACTTGGTCATTGTAGTGTCATCAAACATTGGGTCATTGTAGTGTCATCAAACATTGGGTCATTGTAGTGTCATCAAACATTGGGTCATTGGAGTGTCATTAGGATATTGATATTACACTCTTTATACATCGTAAAGTTGGCATGTGTTATTGACACATTTACTTGATTTCATAATTCCTTATTCAATAAATTTCAGTTGTATCGAAGTTTTGTACATTTTTTGATTTTCATAACAAAGAGGCATATGACCCCTCATTTCTTTTGATATTCAACATTAAACAGCAGAGCTTGTGTCAAAATCAATCCATTTGTGGTATTCACTTAACCATAAGATGGATATATAATAAAGACAGGTGTTGTGACTATATAGTTTAATGACAATACAGCAAGATACATCACTGTCATACAAACTATAACACTACTGATGTAGTCCCAGGGAACGTCGCCGAGCACACAATTACACTACAGATGTAATCCCAGGGTACGTCGCCGAGCACACAATTACACTACTGGTGTAGTCCCAAGATACGTCACCGAGCACACAATTACACTACAGATGTAGTCCCAGGGTACGTCACCGAGCACACAATTACACTACAGATGTAGTCCCAGGGTACGTCGCCGAGCACACAATACTGAGTACTGCTCTCACATGTATTGTAAAACCATTGATTTTCACTTTTTTGTTTTTTTATCTTGGCACTTTGACCAGTGTTGAAAATACCCAAATCAATAACTCTACTGACTGTTTATTGATTCACAAACACAAGAATTTGGATACGAATACCTTTGAAATCAAAATTATTAAAATTCAATGAAAATCCCTGACTTTACAGTACAAGGATTCAAACACCTTGCACCTTTTAGTCTATATAATACTTACCAGTCATCATACTTGTTTTGATGGTAAACTCTAAAAAGTTTGAGTGTATTAACAGTTACTCTCAAAAGGTATCTTTAACACATTCAACCAACGTCCTGATTGTATCGGGACCATATTAAGACATTGCCAATTTCTTGTCAAAAGCAACATAAAATATCCAGTTTTATGATATTCTTTTATCAAAAGATATAAAATTGTACTTTCCAAGTTTTTGAACTTGTGAAAATGCCTTCATGGACTTTCCATGAATGACTGAATGATGCGTTCTTCCATGTAAGGAATACCCCGTCAGAGTCAAACGACAGTCCCAAACATAAGGCCCTGAGAATGTACATAACTAATAATTTCACATTGGCCCTGATAGTGCACATACCTTACAAATGTATCTGGGCCCTTCCTATGTATAATCCTGACATTATGAATGACGTGGGGCCCTGATGATACTTTGTACTTGTTGACCTGTTAGAAATGGTCCTATGAACACTGAACCTGTTTCCCTATCGCAGCTGTCGGACATAAACAGAGTGAAGTTTGATTAAGTAGTATATCTTGCCAGTTAACACCAGATGTAAAGCCTTAAATAAGAAAAATAGCCCACCACTCTCTACTCTACTGAAATCTTACAACCACACCATTCCATCATAGAAACTGCCACAGCTATCACTGATCATCACGTTGAATCTCACTTGTAATCGTTTCCTTCACTGTTATATGTATCAAGATATTTATACCAAACTATAATAAATCCTGCACAACAAAGTGTATCTTACTGCTAAAATAAACAAAACATCTACCTGGTGAAACCCAGTTTCCAAAATGTTTTTGTCTCAAAATTCTTTTCTTTTTTTCGAAAATGCAAAAATCCAACGAACAAGTAATTCTATGGCAAAATGAAAAGATTTTCTCAAAATAATGAACAACTTGAGGTTACTCAGTGCAGTGTTGTATACTGAAGGACATCAAACTCTACAACACAGAGCTTGGTGAATGGACCTTTTATTATATCCTTCCAAAGCATAAACAAATAAAACCACTACAATCTGTATCTGTTAACAGTATGTTAGGGCACTTGCCAGATACATGTTATTTATCCATATCGGTTAAAAAGCCAATTGACAATATTCAATATGGAGGTCTTTAGTTGCCAGCATCAAAAATGTCATGAAATAAAAAAAAATTCTGCTGTTAATTTAAATACATTAGCACTTAAACTTTTTCAAAATTAATTACAAAAATATTCTCAATGTTTGGAACAAATTTCACATATTAAATAACAAAACTGATATGCTAACCTAGTACTGGTTTACTGAATAAAAAAAAAAGACAAAATAACTATAAATGTCTGCTGTAGTCTAACCTCCAAGTAGTCAATCACTTCTGATAAAATCTTTACAAGTAATTTCTACACAGAAATAATGGGTGGCTATTTATGCTATAATATTCAATATGAAAGGAAAAAAGACAATTTTTAGTTTTAAGGATGAAATTTTGAACTGATTTTAGATATTTTATAATTTCAAAATTGTACAAAGAGAGTATTATCTTTTAAGCAAGGCAGGACTTCAGGCTTACATGTATACTTCAAAGTCTGCATCTATGAATGGATACAAATGAGAAGCCTATCAGATTGAGATCTAGGTAAAACACAGTCCTTAACAAATTAATTCATAAAACAAATAGAAAAAAAAATCCAGAATCAGACACATCATTAAGACTCAGATTACAAAGCTAAACATTCTGAAGATGCAGATACAATGTTAAAACATCCTTGTGACACAGATTAAATATAAAATGTTTAATAATATTAGTTCTGGAAAGCTTTATTTGGCTGCATTGCCTACCCCTTCAACCCTAAATATACGCAATGGACCAGTCTTTAGTCACTCTGGACCAGTCTATGGTGGTCTTTGGGGATTAACACATATAAAATCACAATCATGTATATATAATATAAAGCCAGCTTATTTCCATAAAAACAATTAAAAAATTGCACAAATTCACTTAAATTCATTCAAAAGCACAACATACTTGGAAATAACTACTAGTGACTAGGAAGTAAGTGAGTAAATAGCGGGGGGTAAGCATGCTCCTGGCTAAACATGGAACACACCTTACTCCTGGTCAGAAACAAAGACCCATGCCAGACACACAAAGGAGACATGACCATGTTTCTGGCTTCAGAAACATGATATAAGAATGCCACTTTGATAAAGCGCCGTGTGACAAGACCTGCCACATTTAGCAACCATCAGAATGGGCCTCGTCTCTGGCCACAGAGATGGCATTAGTCTCCTTAACAAGGGAGATACTACACACCTCTAGGGTCATTAAACCTGTCTCGCGGTCACATGACACTTTTTCTCACACCTGTCAATATATCCAATTAAATCCACTGTGACATGTGTCACACTCTTTGTGTTAGCTGTAAGATCGATACTGACCCTTTAATGCGGTGAGGACATCTCAGTCACCATGTTCAATCTCTCACGATGGTTCTCTAGGAAATTTTGCACAACATCACTTATTGTAAAAACTTGTACACTAATAAGTCAGTTTACAAAAATCAGTTGGACAAAACAGAATTCTACTGTATTTCCAGGAAATTCATAATACTCTGCTAAAACGATTTCCCTGCTTTTCGATGTTGATGAAATATTGTTGCAAAAAAATACATTTGCATACATCAATTAAAATATCAGCACTCTGTACTGTTAAAACCTTTTTTAAATACAATTTTCTACGTAAAAATTAATTCCATAATCACAATACAAATGTCACTGTTGACAAGTTCATGTGACCCCTGACACTCCCTCACTTGTCATGTGACTTGTTCACTCTCACACTCAAATCATGTGACCAGGTCAAATGACCATGATTGTATATAACAAACTTTATGTATACATTAATAGCACAATGATAGCACATTATTTTATTTTACAAATCTTAAGTTAAAAGGCATAAAAATATAATAGCACACATGATTGTTGATCTAACCTTTGACCTTAAGTTACTGACCTGTAAACTTCAAAATGGCAGAACACCATTAGCATTGCTATAGCAACCAGCTACAAAATAATTGCATCTTTATACAAATGATATTTGCCAGGATGGCCTAGGGTGTCAGCCATTGTACTTGACTATTTTTCTGATGGCGAGCTACCTCCACATGTGATGAAGGAGCGAGACGACCAGACATGATCGTTCTGGCATTTTCATTAGAGATAATTATTGTTCAGGTCTTGTACGTTGAACACTGATAACTTAATGTTAAAAGCTGGTCACCCTGACCAGATTTCATACAGAATTTTGATGCCAAAGTTATCCTATTTTAGGACCTTTTAAGGGATCTTCCATTTAATTTAGGGCTTTCTTTGAATTGTACAACCCTTGAACCCTCAGTAAGAAGTTATCAGTGTTCATTTGATTAAGCATTGCAAAGTGTAGCTGAATGAACAAATTATCCCCCTTTCTGTTAGGTGGGTCACAGCTTTGCAGTTTACTGGGTTAACAAGTTACCTCCCCTCACTGTTTACAGAGTTACAGAATAGCTGGGGTAACAAGTTACCTCCCCTTGCTGTTTACAGAGTTACAGAATAGCTGGGGTAACAAGTTACCTCCCCTTGCTGTTTACAGAGTTACAGAATAGCTGGGGTAACAAGTTACCTCCCCTTGCTGTTTACAGAGTTACAGAATAGCTGGGGTAACAAATTAACTCCACTTGCTTTTTATTCGGTCTCAACTGCAGGAGGCCAGCCCCACAGACCATTTTAGTCCTGAGATTATTGACTGTTGACCTTGACCTTCGTCTTTCCTGAGGTTTGACCTTTATCACTTATCAACCAATTAATATCAACCAGCCCTGAGTTTATAGCCTTTATGTCCTGACTCACTGTCAGTGTCTAATCAACATTAAAGCCATTGACGATTACTACTTCTGTACAGCTGTAACCTGCAGCCCCAACAAGCCACCAATCAACTTCACACCCACGATATCGTGATATATCCACTCCTCCAACCAAAATCAACGAAAAATGTTGAGCATGTGACAACCAGTGTCCAATCAGTTCTGGGAGGAGATTTGCCCTTTCGACCCTGCCTCGATATCAACCCGGCATATTGGACACTTCTTGTTGGAGGTTAGCCACTGGTCCACACATTCAATGTGAAACAGGTGCATACATGGCAGGCGTCTAGAAAAGGATAACGAAGAAATTACATGATAGCATGTAATATTTGTTTATAACAATTATACCAGAACAGTTCAATGTTAATATAGGTTGTCATATTACAACTTAATTAACTGAAATTAATTGTTCATTAATGACTGTGTAATCAGTCAAGTGGAACAAGGAACCATCAATGTTTCTATTACATAATACTAATGATACAAAAGTCGATTGTAGGTATCATCTATGGTACATGAAATCCCATCTGGATATTTATAGTAACACAACTGTTGATATGTAATATAAGATTTCTCCTTAAAGTATAGAACTTAACTTACATCGTCAGCCTCCACTCTATATAAATGTATTACCTCACACCTTCAGCCTCCACTCTATATAAATGTATTACCTCACACCTTCAGCCTCCACTCTATATAAATGTATTACCTCACATCCTCAGCCTCCACTCTATATAAATGTATTACCTCACATCCTCAGCCTCCACTGTATATAAATGTATTACCTCACACCTTCAGCCTCCACTCTATATAAATGTATTACTTCACATCGTCAGCCTCCACTCTATATAAATGTATTACCCGACATCCTCAGCCTTCACTCTATATAAATGTATTACCTCACACCTTCTGCCTCCACTCTATATAAATGTATTACCCGACATCGTCAGCCTTCACTCTATATAAATGTATTACCTCACACCTTCTGCCTCCACTCTATATAAATGTATTACCTCACATCGTCAGCCTCCACTCTATATAAATGTATTACCCGACATCCTCAGCCTTCACTCTATATAAATGTATTACCTCACACCTTCTGCCTCCACTCTATATAAATGTATTACCTCACATCCTCAGCCTCCACTCTATATAAATGTATTACCTCACATCCTCAGCCTCCACTCTATATAAATGTATTACCTCACACCTTCAGCCTCCATTCTATATAAATGTATTACCTCACATCCTCAGCCTCCACTCTATATAAATGTATTACCTCACATCCTCAGCATCCACTCTATATAAATGTATTACCTCACACCTTCAGCCTCCACTCTATATAAATGTATTACCTCACACCTTCAGCCTCCATTCTATATAAATGTATTACCTCACATCCTCAGCCTCCACTCTATATAAATGTATTACCTCACATCCTCAGCCTCCACTCTATATAAATGTATTACCTCACATCCTCAGCCTCCACTCTATATAAATGTATTACCTCACACCTTCAGCCTCCACTCTGTATAAATGTATTACCCGACATCGTCAGCCTCCACTCTATATAAATGTATTACCTCACATCGTCAGCCTCCACTCTATATAAATGTATTACATCACACCTTCTGCCTCCACTCTATATAAATGTATTACCTCACACCTTCTGCCTCCACTCTATATAAATGTATTACCTTACACCTTCTGCCTCCACTCTATATAAATGTATTACCTCACACCTTCAGCCTCCACTCTATATAAATGTATTACCTCACATCCTCAGCCTCCACTCTATATAAATGTATTACCTCACACCTTCTGCCTCCACTCTATATAAATGTATTACCTCACACCTTCTGCCTCCACTCTATATAAATGTATTACCTTACACCTTCTGCCTCCACTCTATATAAATGTATTACCTCACACCTTCAGCCTCCACTCTATATAAATGTATTACCTCACATCGTCAGCCTCCACTCTATATAAATGTATTACCTCACACCTTCTGCCTCCACTCTATATAAATGTATTACCTTACACCTTCTGCCTCCACTCTATATAAATGTATTACCTCACACCTTCAGCCTCCACTCTATATAAATGTATTACCTCACATCCTCAGCCTCCACTCTATATAAATGTATTACCTCACACCTTCTGCCTCCACTCTATATAAATGTATTACCTCACATCCTCAGCCTCCACTCTATATAAATGTATTACCTCACATCGTCAGCCTCCACTCTATATAAATGTATTACCTCACATCCTCAGCCTCCACTCTATATAAATGTATTACCTCACACCTTCACCTTCTATATAAATGTATTACCTCACACCTTCAGCCTCCACTCTATATAAATGTATTACCTCACACCTTCTGCCTCCACTCTATATAAATGTATTACCCGACATCGTCAGCCTCCACTCTATATAAATGTATTACCTCACATCCTCAGCCTCCATTCTATATAAATGTATTACCTCACATCCTCAGCCTCCACTCTGTATAAATGTATTACCTCACATCCTCAGCCTCCATTCGATATAAATGTATTACCTCACATCTTCAGCCTCCACTCTATATAAATGTATTACCTCACACCTTCTGCCTCCACTCTATATTAATGTATTACCCGACATCGTCAGCCTCCACTCTATATAAATGTATTACCCGACATCCTCAGCCTCCACTCTATATAAATGTATTACCCGACATCGTCAGCCTCCACTCTATATAAATGTATTACCTTACACCTTCAGCCTTCATTCTATATAAATGTATTACCTCACATCCTCAGCCTCCACTCTATATAAATGTATTACCTCACACCTTCTGCCTCCACTCTATATAAATGTATTACCTCACACCTTCAGCCTCCATTCTATATAAATGTATTACTTCACATCGTCAGCCTCCACTCTGTATAAATGTATTACCTCACATCGTCAGCCTCCACTCTATATAAATGTATTACCTCACACCTTCAGCCTCCACTCTATATAAATGTATTACCTTACACCTTCAGCCTCCACTCTATATAAATGTATTACCCGACATCCTCAGCCTTCACTCTATATAAATGTATTACCTCACACCTTCTGCCTCCACTCTATATAAATGTATTACCTCACACCTTCTGCCTCCACTCTATATAAATGTATTACCTCACACCTTCTGCCTCCACTCTATATAAATGTATTACCTCACACCTTCTGCCTCCACTCTATATAAATGTATTACCTCACACCTTCAGCCTCCATTCTATATAAATGTATTACTTCACATCGTCAGCCTCCACTCTGTATAAATGTATTACCTCACATCGTCAGCCTCCACTCTATATAAATGTATTACCTCACACCTTCAGCCTCCACTCTATATAAATGTATTACCTTACACCTTCAGCCTCCACTCTATATAAATGTATTACCCGACATCCTCAGCCTTCACTCTATATAAATGTATTACCTCACATCCTCAGCCTCCACTCTATATAAATGTATTACCTCACACCTTCAGCCTCCACTCTATATAAATGTATTACCTCACACCTTCTGCCTCCACTCTATATAAATGTATTACCTCACACCTTCTGCCTCCACTCTATATAAATGTATTACCTCACACCTTCTGCCTCCACTCTATATAAATGTATTACCCGACATCGTCAGCCTCCACTCTATATAAATGTATTACCTCACATCCTCAGCCTCCATTCTATATAAATGTATTACCTCACACCTTCAGCCTCCACTCTATATAAATGTATTACCTCACACCTTCTGCCTCCACTCTATATAAATGTATTACCTCACACCTTCTGCCTCCATTCTATATAAATGTATTACCTCACATCCTCAGCCTCCACTCTGTATAAATGTATTACCTCACACCTTCAGCCTCCACTCTATATAAATGTATTACCTCACACCTTCTGCCTCCACTCTATATTAATGTATTACCCGACATCGTCAGCTTCCACTCTATATAAATGTATTACCTCACATCCTCAGCCTCCACTCTATATAAATGTATTACCTCACACCTTCTGCCTCCACTCTATATTAATGTATTACCCGACATCGTCAGCCTCCACTCTATATAAATGTATTACCTCACACCTTCTGCCTCCACTCTATATTAATGTATTACCCGACATCGTCAGCCTCCACTCTATATAAATGTATTACCTCACATCCTCAGCCTCCATTCTATATAAATGTATTACCTCACACCTTCTGCCTCCACTCTATATAAATGTATTACCTCACACCTTCTGCCTCCACTCTATATAAATGTATTACCTCACATCGTCAGCCTCCACTCTATATAAATGTATTACCTCACACCTTCAGCCTCCACTCTATATAAATGTATTACTTCACATCGTCAGCCTCCACTCTATATAAATGTATTACCCGACATCCTCAGCCTACACTCTATATAAATGTATTACTTCACATCGTCAGCCTCCACTCTATATAAATGTATTACTTCACATCGTCAGCCTTTACTCTAAATAAATGTATTACCTCACATCCTCAGCCTACACTCTATATAAATGTATTACTTCACATCGTCAGCCTTTACTCTAAATAAATGTATTACCTCACATCCTCAGCCTCCTCAAATTCACTTAGACAGATGGTACACTTCTCAGGTTGTTCATCGTCTCCATCTGCATCTCGCTTGATCTGAAAGAAACATATCACAACAATGTAGTCTGAAGTTATACATCACCAGATCAAACACAATTATAAATCTGTATTTTGTTACAGCTAACAAGCAAACATACCCTGTGGTATTTGTGAGACAGAGTTCTGTGTGTAAACATACCCTGTGGTATTTGTGAGACAGAGTTCTGTGTGTAAACATACCCTGTGGTATTTGTGAGACAGAGTTCTGTGTGTAAACATACCCTGTGGTATTTGTGAGACAGAGTTCTGTGTGTAAACATACCCTGTGGTATTTGTGAGACAGAGTTCTGTGTGTAAACATACCCTGTGGTATTTGTGAGACAGAGTTCTGTGTGTAAACTTACCCTGTGGTATTTGTGAGACAGAGTTCTGTGTGTAAACATACCCTGTGGTATTTGTGAGACAGAGTTCTGTATGTAAACTTACCCTGTGGTATTTGTGGGGCAGCGTGTTCTGCTCTATCACCTCCTTTGTGGCTCCACGGTTTATATTTCCTAGTCTTTCTTCCAGACTTAAAAATTCCTGTTAATATTAATCATCATTATTGCTGTCAAATATTTTCCAACAAGTCAAGCTGCCGTTAAATATTTTTTTCCAGAACTATTTTTTATCTCTGCTCTCCAAATATTGATGTAAACAATTTCTATCGATGTGAATTCTGACATATCTTATCACAGCTTTTCGTTTAATTTTAATTTGGTTCTGAAGTTTGACCTAAATGTAAACTTTGACCTTACTGTGACCTTATTGCTCTGCAATCTTACCTCATACATTGGCCTATGATGCAGCATCATCCTGCCAAGTCTCATTTGCATGTTCCTATGGAAACCAGGGATTGGCCCAGGGAATGAGAATTGATGTATACTGGGTCCTTGAGACTGAAAGTAAATGCCATTCTATTAATCACTGGGTCAAGGTGTCACAGCTAATAACAGGAAAAGAAGAGAGAAGAAAACTTTAGTGTTCCTGTAAGATATATCCAAATATAGTACTGACTTTCTAGAATCATACACATCTTCATATGCATACTGAATTATGAAATTTACTTTTAACACAACCGTAACTGTAAAAACACTTCGAAATTCTAAACAGGAAAGGTATATACCTTTCTTTTTGATAATATTTAAGCATTCTACATCACTGAACCTACCATGAGTTCGGGATGGAGTGTTGGTATCGAGAAGTGCTGTAACCGAGGGGCAGCTGGGTTGCCATGGTGATAGTGATGGTGATGATGAAGGTGATGATGCTGGGGGAAATGGGCTGGTCCATTCATAGTGGAGAGGTGAAGATGGTTCTGGCCCCCAATACCAGGTGGGAATGGACACGCTCCACTCATTGGCTGCGGCAACGATCCTGGGGGCATCTGGGTCTGGGAGCTGTTGATAGTCAAATGAAACAAGGTCAGATCAGGTTATCAAAAGAAACAAGGACCGACTTCTACAAACACATTACAATAGTCACATCTTATTTCATTGATAATTATGTCATTTAATACTTATTGAGGTATGATATTTCTGGTTGCTTTCTATTCGATCTATTTCTTTTAATAGATGAAACACCTTCAGTGTTTAACAAATGAATTCAATATTGTGAAATCATACCATTTGTAAATATCGCAATGACTACCGTATTTATACCACAATGAACATTGGAGGTCCACACATCATCACACTGACTACAGATACTGACCATCTACCGTATTTATACCACAATGTACACTAGAGGTCCACACATCATCACACTGACTACAGATACTGACCATCTACTGTATTTATACCACAATGAACACTGGAGGTCCATACATCATCACACTGACTACAGATACTACTATCTACCATATTTATACCACAATGTACACTGGAGGTCCACACATCATCACACTGACTACAGATACTACCATCTACTGTATTTATACCACAATGAACACTGGAGGTCCACACATCATCACACTGACTACAGATACTACCATCTACCGTATTTATACAACAATGTACACTGGAGGTCCATACATCATCACACTGACTACAGATACTACCATCTACCGTATTTATACAACAATGTACACTGGAGGTCCATACATCATCACACTGACTACAGATACTGACCATCTACTGTATTTATACCACAATGAACACTGAAGGTCCACACATCATCACACTGACTACACTGACTACAGATACTACCATCTACCGTATTTATACCACAATGTACACTGGAGGTCCATACATCATCACACTGACTACAGATACTACCATCTACCGTATTTATACCACAATGTACACTGGAGAACCACACATCATCACACTGACTACAGATACTACCATCTACCGTATTTATACCACAATGAACACTGGAGGTCCATACATCATCACACTGACTACAGATACTACCATCTACCGTATTTATACAACAATGTACACTGGAGGTCCATACATCATCACACTGACTACAGATACTGACCATCTACTGTATTTATACCACAATGAACACTGAAGGTCCACACATCATCACACTGACTACAGATACTACCATCTACCGTATTTATACCACAATGAACACTGGAGGTCCATACATCATCACACTGACTACAGATACTACCATATACCGTATTTATACCACAATGTACACTGGAGAACCATACATCATCACACTGACTACAGATACTACCATCTACCGTATTTATACCACAATGTACACTGGAGGTCCATACATCATCACACTGACTACAGATACTACCATATACCGTATTTATACCACAATGTACACTGGAGAACCATACATCATCACACTGACTACAGATACTACCATCTACCGTATTTATACCACAATGTACACTGGAGGTCCATACATCATCACACTGACTACAGATACTACCATCTACCGTATTTATACCACAATGTACACTGGAGAACCACACATCATCACACTGACTACAGATAATACCCATTAAACCTCAAATTCCTCAAAAAGTTATTTGTTGAATACAACCACATCTCTAAAATGAAATTTTTCCTATTCCTTTGTATTCATATAATTTTTCTCCCTTTTTTTGTGTGTATCAAAATCTGTGTCACACATGACTGCTTCCAACCTTTCTAATCACTATGGTGATAATCAACCTCTGCTAACTCTAACAAATCTTATTCCTTATTTTGTGTCCCACAGAGTTTTTCTATATATGAGTGTTTATCACCAGAAATTGGCTTATAATTTGATTTAGACGTCAGGCATTCTTCTTGAACTTACTTTACAAAAAAGATCACAACGAGCTGCTATCAAATCAAACCTCCTGTCATTTGACATGTGACCTACCATGGAGTCCGAATATCAGGACCAGCTGATGATGTTGCTCCATGCTCCTGTGACGAGCTCAGGGGTCGCAATCCTGGCCATGCCATCAGAGGATTGGGGGAGTTCTGCATGCAGGCTGGGTTACCAGGGTGAGCTGTTCCCTGGATACATGCAGGGTTGCTGTGGTTGCTTGCCTGGAACAGTGGGGGTCCCTCAATGTGGTGGGCCGTCAGGTCATTGAAGGTCTGAGGGGTGAATGGCTGTTGTGGTAGCAACATGGGAAGGACGGCTGGGGACATCGTGAAGGGAGCAATGTGATGGTGGTGGTGATGGATGTGGGCACGAGGGGGATGGGGAGTGTGAGGGGGGTGTGGCTGGGGGTGAGGTGTGGGGTGAGGTGTTGGATGGTGTACATGGGGATGATTGTTCCCTCCACTATGGGAACAATTACCTGAAAACAATCAAATCATTATCACAAACTAATAATACATACAGCTAACATTTCTCATTAGATGGAATTGTAAAATCCCAAAACACTTTCATAAAAGTGACAAATTGCTTTTACTTAAATGATAAATATTAGTTTTGTATTTTTACCAAATATTTCATCATACAAATTACTGTTTGTCCTTTAACAGAGTGTCAAAATGATTTACAAAATTAATATACCTAAAACCAAAACATGACGGATGTCTCTCAATAAGCTGAAACTGATGTCCTTCACCATTTATCTGACCTTTGATACTAATATGTCAGTTATTTTACTAACATTTTGTTTGTTAAATTAAAATTTTGATAATTAATATATAGAGACAATATAGGATTACCAACAGTAAAACTAGCAACGAATTCAAGTTACCATGGGAACAGTTAAGGTGGTGACTGTTGTACCCCTGACAACCAATACTGACAGTAAAACCAACAATATCATCAAGTTACCATGGCAACAGTAAAGGTGGTGACTGTTGTACCACCCCCCCCCCACCCCCCAACCATTGCTGACAGTAAAACCAACAATATCATCAAGTTACCATGGCAACAGTAAATGTGGTGACTGTTGTACCCCCCCCCACCCCCAACCATTGCTGACAGTAAAACCAACAATACCATCAAGTTACCATGGGAACAGTAAAGGTGGTGACTGTTGTACCCCCGACAACCAATACTGACAGTAAAACCAACAATATCCTCAAGTTACCATGGGAACAGTAAAGGTGGTGACTGTTGTACCCCCCCCCCCCAACCATTGCTGACAGTAAAACCAACAATATCATCAAGTTACCATGCGAATAGTAATGAGGGTGCCTGTTATATCCCTGACGACCTATGTTAGCATGGCTGCAGTGGCTGTGGTCATGGAAACCACAGGAAGACCGATCTGGACAGCTAACCATATGGTGATGTCGCCTCTGTAAACAGAATCATTTGATTTTTTAACAGTAATAATGAAAGATCTCTAGATACTTTTCTGCGTGACGACTACCATAGTTACATCAGGTATAGTTCTTTAATTTCAAGGATTAAACACTAAACTGTTATTTAAGAAAGAGGAAGTGTGTGGGGATTCTGTGTATAATTGTATTTTCAAATCTAATTTGATCATTGAAGGCCCCAAACAAGTTGGATATTTTATGTATTTTAAAATCAGCATTATTTAGAAATACATCCATAAAGTAAAGGAATTTTTATAAAAAAATTATCAGTAAACTTTTTTAAATATTACACTGAGATAAACTGATTCCTGTTATCTGTTACTGGTATATCAACAGTGGTCATCATATCACAGGTAAGGGTGCTGCTTATTTGTGGATAAAATTATGACAATCGCTAAAACCCGACCATGTGGCTTCTACTTGGGTGCAGTTTTTAGACCGGAAAATACAGCATTTAAAAAACACCCAACCTGAGAAACTGGATGAAGTACCTGTTGACAGGAGTGGTTGGTACAGGGACCATCATTTGAGTGACAGTTGTGGGCGATGCGAATACCATTGCCGAAGTTGTGGATGTGAGCCGGTGGAGGCTGACCCCTGAAGTGTGGAATGTGCTGGAACATGTCTGGACCCACATCACTTGTGGGACGCACCTCGCCACTGACTGGGTGAGCAGACGACACTCGACTGTTGTCATGGAGACAGGGTGGGAAGACAGAGTTTGGCTGATTGTCACTTGACGTCTGCGTTTGACTGCTTCCTCTCTCTGTTTAAACCAAGACACAGTCAGATTCGAAGTCAAATAGGAAATGTTTACATCATTTTAAGAGAAAGTCTTCTAAAAGAATAATTCTATTTCCTGACATTGTTTTTCTTCATTAAAATGACAAGTAAAATATGTCAAAGCAAAGGTTACAAGATATATCTTAAGCTCAAAATGATTTTCGCATTATTAAGTCCCGTTAAATATAAGAACACAGCATTAAGACTCTCCATCCGATTACATTATACTGAAAACAGGCAAATAAGTCTGTATGGATCATTGATGAAACTCAGAAACCAAACAACATCCTCAGGAGACAGGAACTATATATAGTCCTAACAATGTCGTCTGTCAGGAGACAGGAACTATATACAGTCCTAACAATGTCCTCAGGAGACAGGAACTATATAGTCCTAACAAAAATTGTCTGTCAGGAGACAGGAACTATATACAGTCCTAACAATGTCCTCAGGAGACAGGAACTATATAGTCCTAACAATGTCGTCTGTCAGGAGACAGGAACTATATACAGTCCTAACAATGTCCTCAGGAGACAGGAACTATATAGTCCTAACAAAAATTGTCTGTCAGGAGACAGGAACTATATACAGTCCTAACAATGTCCTCAGGAGACAGGAACTATATAGTCCTAACAATGTCGTCTGTCAGGAGACAGGAACTATATACAGTCCTAACAATGTCCTCTGTCCGGAGACAGGAACTATATACAGTCCTAACAATGTCCTCTGTCCGGAGACAGGAACTATATACAGTCCTAACAATGTCCTCTGTCCGGAGACAGGAACTATATACAGTCCTAACAATGTCCTCTGTCCGGAGACAGGAACTATATACAGTCCTAACAATGTCCTCAGGAGACAGGACTATATATAGTCCTAACAATGTCCTCCGGAGACAGGACTATATACAGTCCTAACAATGTCCTCTGTCAGGAGACAGGACTATATACAGTCCTAACAATGTCCTCAGGAGACAGGACTATATATATATTCCTAACAATGTCCTCCGGAGACAGGACTATATACAGTCCTAACAATGTCCTCTGTCAGGAGACAGGAACTATACAGTCCTAACAATGTCCTCAGGAGACAGTAACTATATACAGTCCTATCAATGTTGCCTGTCAGGAGACAGGACTATATAGTCCTAACAATGTTGTCTGTCAGGAGACAGGGCTATATAGTCCTTACAATGTCTTCTCTTGGGAGAGTTTACCTCTTACCATCTTAAAGCAGGTTATTATGTAGAGTTTTCTGAATCCCCTAAGACGATCAAAATATGTCATAAATGAAATAAATAAAGTTGTGCTCCTTACCATCGTCTGACTCTGTGAGATCTACCACCACTGTTGCAGCTCGACCAGAGTCTCCCCGTCCTCTTCCCCTCCTACAATTATGATACAAATACACTATTATCACAGGCAATATAAAGCACATTAATTACATGATGAAGATATATAAGTATTAACTTTCAAGTTTAAAGCAAGCGACACCAGACCGACTGAACTTCCAGATTAATATCAAGATTATCTTGTACATGAGAGACATCAATCCTCATTAACCTGCCTACAGCCTTCTACACTCAGGTGCAGCGGAAATCCACATCTTCAGTTCAAGACACAACTTTTCTTCAAATTATTAAGAACCTTGGGTTGGTTATGACAGAATAATCTGACTTCTACTGGATTAAATGTATTTAACCTTTACTGACCTTGTCTCAACTCTCACTACCTCCACATCACTATCCTCCGAACCTGACGACAGCTCCACATCTTCAACAACAAGACCTGTGGGTGTGGTACTATCTGCCCTGGAGGTGGGGCCATCCTGTACAGTCAGGTCTATGCTGTCATCTAATTTCTCCGTAACCCCTGAATTCTGACCTTTCACCTCTGAATGGTCCATCTCCATATGAGCCATAAACTCACGTCGTGAGGCTGCTGTTGGTGTGACCTCCCTTGGCACAGGTGTTGTGTCCCTTGACATATCCTGTTCATCATTATGATCCACACCTGTCCCTGAAATATGACATTCCACTTCTTCATTTGTATCACTAGAGATTGCCGTCTTGGATGCGGGTCGAGACTTTGATCTTTGTTCACCTGACCTTGACATTCTGATGGGTTCATGCCAAGATGGCCGATCAGAGCGACTTATCTGCTGCCTTCCTGATTGGGTGAGATCTGTAGGCTGTATGTCACCAAGGTAACCACATTCAGGGTGAGTACAGGCCTGATTGTGCATGGATACTGAATCACCCTGACGGCAACACCAGCCCTCCATCTGGGCTCTTTGGGTAGGAAGACTAGGGAATGTTTCACAAGGCTGGGTGGCCCCAGAGGTTGGAGGGACGGGAAGAGTTTGGTGGGGTCGGTGATTACAGCCACGATTCTGGCCACGGCGGGAGGGATTAGGGGGGAAAAAGGCACTCATCATACCAGAGGTATCCCCAGGATTGCGCCGACCTCGGTAGGACAGTCTCCCCCACACAGGTTCAGGCCCTGGTGCTGGCAAATTAAACAAAGAGTAGGGGTTCAAGGAGTCCATGATATCTGATCGGTCCCCCAATGACTGACTGTGGTCATTATTGCCACGACGATCAGTCTGTTTGTGAGAGTTTTTCACAGACTTTGATTTGTCCTTTTTAACACACTGATTTTCCTCAGAGCCTGCATTGGAGGCTGAGGCTTGTGTGAATGCCGTTTGACCTTGATGACCTTGTGATGGTCCTTGATCTTGATCCCAGTCCCACTTGTCATGATCATGGGACAAGTGAGAGAGATGGTCCATGTAAGAACGAAAGTTGTCTGTGAGTGGTGTAGGGTCAGAGGTCAAGTCTGCTAGGAACAAAGGTTGAGAGTTAGCCATGGGATCAGATAATTGTTCAGCTCTCTCCCCTAGGAACAGAGGTGATTCCCCTTCAACCAGAATGTCTGGGTCAGAGGTCACTGGCTCACACACACCTGTAACAGTGAAATAATCATAAAGAACAAAAAGATTGTTGTCATACTCATACCAAGTATCAAGCCCCAATACTAGAGGACTAACATGCCATAAAAGGAACTTCAATGTGCCTACTCTTAACCTGAGCTTGACAAGACGGTTTAAATTATAAAGTATGAGCACATTGTATGATATAAGTCATTGTGTGTAGTGCGACATATTCTGAAATAAATTATAAAGTATGAACACATTGTATGATATCAGTAATTGTGTGTTGTGCGACATATTCTGAAATAAATTATACAGTATGAACACATTGTATGATATCAGTAATTTGTGTAGTGTGACAGACTCTGAAATTCCTTTTGTCTTTCATATCCTGCTGTTGCGTTACGACTCTTCGTTTGAATTCTAAGTTAATAATGTCAAAGTATTCACAAGTAAAAGCATTTTAATATTTGACCTTGACCTTCAATCATATGACCTTGACTTTTGGTCAAGTGACTCCTCATTGATCATCATTGCTTCATGATATTAAATAAAAATGTTGAACTGTTAGAAAATATGACATTGACTGTGAACCTAATGACCTGGAACTTTGGTCAAATTTGCTTCATGATGTTTTGTGACCTTGAATTTCAAGAATGACCCATCATTTGATTACAGTAAATTTCGCTTCTTGATGTCATAGGTAGCATTTACCAGTAACATTAATGTACAAGGGGCCCACGCGTCTTAATGGTCGTCTGACTTCAAAGACTTAAAAATGAAAGAAGACAAATAGGCCTAAATAGTTCAACTTCGCTACATCTTACAATGAAGACATTGTTGGTTCATAAAATGTTTTCTGCAAACTTGAAATCCTATTCTTTATACATCTACTACAAAAAATGCCATTACTTCAAACTTATTGCTTTTTGAAAAAGAAATTTTAGGACCTCAAACCACTTGACCAACGAGACCTTGATTATAGGTCAAGGTCAATTATTTGAATAAATCGGTAGCCCTTCATCCCAGCATGCTACATGTCAAATATCAGCACCTTTGACCTTTTGGTTATTGTGAAGTTGTTTAAATATTTCAACACATTTGACCCCTGTGACCTTGAAAGTATGTCAAGATAAACAGTATGAACAAACTTGATAGTCCTTCGTCCCACCATGCTACAGGCCAAACATCAGCACCCTGAGATGTTTTGATTATTAAGAAGAAGTCATTTGAATGTAAAATTTACACATGGCTCCGTCGGATAACGATGGACGAAACAAGCAGACTATAGGTCATCCTGACTCTACCTAATGACATATATAACATACTTTCTGTGAAGAAGTTATAGAAAATGAGTAATCAGCCAAACAAAACTGTTATAATAAGTTTTACTGTCATATTCAGTCCTTAACAGTATATCTACACTAAGCTGATGTAACTGCTGAATCAATCTTTCTAGAACAATTATTTACCAGGTACAGGGGTCGGGGCTGATGAACTGGTATCCATGGAGACAACCTCAACTTCATTTGGACCCCATGTGTCTGCTGTTCCAGTCAGCGCTGAAAAAGCAATATTTGATCAATTTCAACCTCCCATCAAAAAGACATTTTTTCAAATCATTTCAGTGAGATAAAGATTTATATCAATTTGTCAGGTGTAACACTACCACTAGAAGCTTACCTATTGTGTGTTCTGTCAGGTGTTACAATACCACTAGAAGCTTACCTATTGTGTGTTCTGTCAGGTGTTACAATACCACTAGAAGCTTACCTATTGTATGTTGTCAGGAGTCACACTACCACTAGAAGCTTACTTATTGTGTGTTCTGTCAGGTGTCACACTACCACTAGAAGCTTACCTATTGTGTGTTCTGTCAGGTGTTACGCTAGAAGCTTACCTATTGTGTGTTCTGTCAAGTGTCACACTACCTCTAGAAGCTTACCTATTGTATGTTGTCAGGAGTCACACTACCACTAAAAGCTTACTTTCTGTGTGTTCTGTCAGGTGTTACAAGTGTCACACTACTAGAAGCTTACCTATTGTATGTTGTCAGGAGTCACACTACCACTAAAAGCTTACTTTCTGTGTGTTCTGTCAGGTGTCACACTACCACTAGAAGCTTACCTATTGTATGTTGTCAGGAGTCACACTACCACTAAAAGCTTACTTTCTGTGTGTTCTGTCAGGTGTCACACTACCACTAGAAGCTTACCTATTGTATGTTGTCAGGAGTCACACTACCACTAGAAGCTTACTTATTGTGTGTTCTGTCAGGTGTCACACTACCACTAGAAGCTTACCTACTGTGTGTTCTGTCAGGTGTCACACTACCACTAAAAGCTTACCTACTGTGTGTTCTGTCAGGTGTTACACTACCACTAGAAGCTTACCTACTGTGTGTTCTGTCAGGAGTCACACTACCTCTAGAAGCTTACCTATTGTGTGTTCTGTCAGGTGTCACACTACCACTAGAAGCTTACCTATTGTATGTTCTGCTAGAGCCTCAGCCTGGGCTTCGACAGACTCTGTGGTAACAGGTGCGCCACTGACACAGGCAGAAGTAGAGCTGTCTCCTTTGCTATCCTCACCTATTGAAACTGTTCCTTCCTATTGGAATGAGAAATAACAATATTTCAATCCAACAGTTCTATTTTTTTGGAATTATCAATTTCACTGATTTCTCTGAACAGAAAGTCAGTCATTTGCTTTATGAATGAAGTTATATCTCCAGATGATTGTACCTACCTCAGCCTTTGTAATGAATTGAGAGGCTGGCCAGGCTAAGGGAGGCGACTCTGTTTGGGGAGACTCCATGTCTGATGTGATTCCCTCCCACCTGTCAATCAAATAAGATTTAATGCCTTATTTCAATGATTTTAACTTTCTTTGACATAATGCTGGCACTGAATGGAATGTCATTAATATTAATTTCAGATGATTGTGTCAGGAAAAGCATAAATGCAAAATTTTGATATCTGAATCCCAAAAAAATCATTGACCTTGTTTAAAGGTACTACAGTTACTTCTGCATTGATATACACTCAATAAAGTGTAAATTCACTCAAAAAACTTTACACACATTTAGCCTTTCAGCATATGAAAAATTATATGAAAGTGAATAGAGCGAAAAACATGAAGCAATGGTAGAGAGTGGGATACAATAATGTGAGACTATTTCAATACACCTGAATCTTTATTATTCATGCAGTACAAAGACCTACACTTTATTTAGCATATATATATACATGTATCTGCTGAGGTTCATCAGGCCATTGTTTGCCAAAATTAGGTTAATTTACCATATCTATACCCTTTTAACTTGTTCTAAACTAGAGGAGAAAATATGGAACATTTCCTGACTTTAAAGTAAGCTATATTGAATTCATCAATATTTGCATGCACAGACTGCAGTAATTCTCCTGTGTTAATTTTATATAATGCTTTTGTGAAAAGTCCTTTCATAGGCACCAAATAAAAGCCTCTGGTTGCATGAGTCATATCCTTGGCATGGGTTTTAACTAATTATTATAATTCAATTTGCCATTTCAAAATCCAAAATAATAATAATATGATAAATTAATAAGTTAAAAAATGTACACAAAAACATATTAAACATTTATCTTGTAGGAGATAACCAAGATGGATCTGAAGAGCTTATAGGTTCATGCATGCGATTTTAAATTAGTCATACAGATAATTTCCTTGTAGACAACGACCACATTGTGTGGCAATGACAGGTGTGGTGCTCCACCCGATCTACCTTGTTGTATTATACACAGGCCGTTAAATACACAAGTAGAAAGTTCAAAGGGTACACCACCTAAATTCCCCAACAAAACTTCTTATAAGTCGACCTGACGTTTCATCGCCATCTTTAAGTCGCATTAGGTCTAATCAAAACGATCGACTCAATCAAAGAGCCATCTTATGATATAACAATACTTAGTACAAATCCCACAAGTCACAATATTAGCCCGTCAAGTCGGTTGACAACAAAATAATATATTTCAAACAAACTAGGTGTTTCGTACGTTTCTCATTCAAACAAGCTTACTATTGGTTAAAAAATATAGTGAGAAAGTCTGAAGTAGAGACGTGCTCGCCACTCCTTCATTAGCGGAAAGCTCCGTGGCGATGGCTAGGTAAGGCTCGCCAGGTTGTTTTTGTTCTCCAAATGTTTACAAAGGCAGGTGACCGAAGCCGATGAGTACGGACCGATTCAGACTCATAAACACAATCTACACGTATTAAACAAAACACAACCGAATAGTTTTGAACGTTACTACAGGAAAATACCTTTTGTTATCGTATATCAGATGTTTTTGTTGTCATTTTGAAGAATATCAATCCTCCATTTTGCTTGTGTTTGGGGTTCAGTGCACTTAATTTACGGCAGACAGCTGATTGGCTAAAACTAATGTAGAAACTAAACGTAAAACCAATACATACCAAATCCGGATATTTTCTACCCTATTCCGAAAATTTCGTGTTTCGTTGAAGTTATATATTTTCGTATGTATCTTGTTATCAATTTTGTGTTTTGGATGCCATAAAATACAATTATACAGGAAGTAAAACAGACGTTCCACCAAAATTATATTTTAGCTCATTACTCCGTTGGCATTGTCAGCTAATTTGAAAAAGAAATTGAATCAAACGTTTCATGGATTTGTTTTGTACGGGAGTGTATTCTGGCCACGCTGTATCACTCGAAATTTTGAGTTAGTAATCCGAAATTTTGAGTTAGTGTGTCGAAATTTCGAGTTATTGAAATTTTGAAATATTAACCCGAAATTTCGAGATAACAACTCGTAATTTCGACTTACTAACTCGAATTTCGAGTTACTATCTTGACATTTCGAGTTAAAATAAAACACAACATGGCCGGAATACGCTCCCGTAGTTTTGCAATGTTATAAGTTGCATTTGTAATAGGATTGTTTCTCCAGAAGTATTGATTTATTTTGTGAGGGGTTGTCTCCCTTATGTGGTAGATCTCCATGGAAGACAGTTATAATACAGATACAGTGTAATATATAACGTATACACAATCTCTTGTGTATCGCGTTTTATTTATTTTCTCACCATTGTCCAATTAATACAAACTATAATAAAGAAAACTTTCAAATTCCGGAACAGAGTTACATCCCCTTAGACCCGACATTTGATAAACAATCTATAGTTTGTTGTCGATAGGGCAGACATTTGATTAAACTTGCCTCCTAACACAGGGCGACTCTCATTCTCCATACACAGCATTCTCATTGTTCATATATAGACCATAATTATCGACTCTTTGTTGAAATAATAATAAGTTGTACCCTCGTCCGTCCGTCTGTCCGTCCACACTATTTGTTATTACTATTTCTTGCGAAGTACCGAATGGATATCTCTCAAATTTCATAAGTATGTTCCATTTGGTCTCTCCTTGTGCCCTTTTGATTTTGGAACTGATGAGAAGAAGCATAATGGATCCCAGGCGGCCATTTTTGATTTGGCAGGTAAATATTATCATTGGGTGCTGAGATCCCTCAAACAAAGATTAAATTACCAATTTATTTTTTAAAATGGTATCGTGATAAAGGACTTCTTCACGTGGACAAACGTATCCTATGTTTAAAAGCAGATTGAAAAATGAAGAACATATGCCACTGCTATTTGTAGATAACCAGTATATTTCCATTGACTTGAGTAAGGATGGATGAGTTTCCAAGTTTGCACCATTTCAATAAGCTCAGCATGTAAAATTCCTGTCAAGAATGTGCAAGGTGTTGATGATACATTTTTAATACTCGTTATTAAAAATTGTAACACAGGAAAGGAAAAGGAATACCATACTGATCTTGAAATAAATTTCTGCCCACTAATAAACACCTTCATTTTTGTAGAATCATCAAATTTAAAACAGCAAGCTAAAAATAGTTTGCAAATAAGTTCTGTCTTACACAAGGGAGCTTACAAGAAAATGGATATGGTATGTAACACATTCTGCTAAATGTTTCTGTTCATTACTCGAAAGTTTTTAAGTCATTTGAACCGAAGGGTCAGGATGACCTATAGCCATCGTGTTTCGTCGGTCGTTGTCCACTGCCTACCATGCGTAAACTTTCCAATTGAATAACTTCTCATTAACCAAAAGGCCCAGGGCTCTAATAATGGGCCTGTAGCAGAATGGAATAAAGAGCTACCAAGTTTGTCAATATGAATGACATTGATCCACTTTCAAGGTTATAGGTGTCAAATATGTCATGATCTTTAAATAACCTTTTCTCAATAACCAACGGCCCAGGGTGCTGAAATTAGGCCTGTTGCCAAATGGGACAGAGGGAAACCAAGATTGTTTATATTATTGACCTTCACCTACTTTCAAGGTCACAAGCGTCAAATATGTCAAAATCTATTAAACAACTTCTTATTAAACAAAAGGCCTAGAATGCTGATATTGGGCCTGTAGCATGCTTAATAAAATGAATGACCTTGACCAGTTTTCAATGTCACAGGGATTAATGTGTAAAAGTATGTAAATGATTTCTTCTCAATATCCAGAAAGTCAAAAGTTCTGATAACCGGCCCGTAGTATGCTGGAATGTAGAGTTACCAATTATGTTCACGTTATTTATATTTTCACTTTTTAAAGGTCACAAGGTTCAAATTTGTTAAAAACTTTGAACGACATCTTGTTAATAAAAAAAAAAGCCCAGGCTGTTGATATTGGTTTTTCAATGTAAGTGGAAGAAGAACCATCATTTTGTTCAAATAATTGACCTTGACCTATATTCAAGATCTCTTGGGTTAAGTGGGTTGAGATCTTGAATTTTTTTTCAATAAGCAATAGGTTCGGAATAATGGCATTTGTGTAGTAGCATATATAAAGAATATGATTTAAGTTTGCAGAAAATGTTTTTATGACCAACAATATCTACTTTATAAGCTGTAGAGTAGTTGAGTGGTTTATTTTGGGTTTATTTGTCCTATTTCATATATAGGGCTATATATTCAGATGACTGTTAAGGCCCGATGGTCTCCTGTTTATAAAACATTGGCAGGGTTAATATTGCTTTAATTAAACAGCATTTCATACTAGATAATAAAGAGTTGTAAAGAATTTCTTGAATTTCGCCTATTTATTGTAAAACAATTTCATTTTTTAATTCGTTTTGAAAACCACTGATTTCAATTCTAATGAAATTTGGCAGATATTTTTATGGCAAATGATTAACCAAATGAATGAATTACAATGTCTCCGACCTAGGGGACTGGGGCGGTGTCGAATTGAATCAAATTATCGAAAATCTCCTCAACACTCAGCTATAGAAGAATCATATACTTTTCTTAGATGGAAGAGTTTTTGAGATGCTTTAACCCAAATTATGTATTTCGTGATCCTGGGGAGGGGTATTAAGTTGGAAGCTTATATAGAAATATTTTTTTCACTAACTGTGTTAACAAGATGAATTATGTGATATATGTAACACAACACAAACAATGTTTATGGAATTCAGGTGACTGTTAAGACCATTGGGCCCTTTCTTTTGTCAAGACACTATCATGCAGTGTTGAAATTTTTATAGAAGAATTAGAAGATTTGATATATGGGTTAGGTTGCTACTAAATAGCTCTTTTATAGTGTCCAGATCTGGAAAAGTAAGTTTTCAATTTTTGTCATTTTTAGATCATCTGACCATGGATAAGGTTTTGTAGTCAAATGACCGTTAAGGCCCATGGGCCTCTTATTTGTTCGTTTTTATTAAAAATTTGAATTTACAACTATGTACGACTACCTGTGTTCATGTTTGTGTTCATGAGTGTAATTTGATCTTTATATTCACACTCTGAAGCTGTTTTGTATTATTGAAACTTCAACCTAAGTGATATTTTCTTTGTACCATGATTAAAAGATGGACAATTTACACAAAACTGTTTACTTCTTCATTTAAATATGTTTAATGACACTGATATTTTATTATCATGATAACAGATATATCTTAGGCGTTTTTGTCCATTTGGCGATATCTGAGTTTAATACGTAAATTCTTGGAAGACTTGTCTATAATTGTGGGCTTCAACCACTGTTGTATTCAGGAGGTTGACGGTCAGGAATATCTGAGGTGATTCGTCCGGTTATCAATATCTGAGGTGATTCGTCCGGTTATCAGTATCTGAGGTGATTCGTCCGGTCGTCAATATCTGAGGTGATTCGTCCGGTCGTCAGTATCTGAGGTGATTCGTCCGGTCGTCAATATCTGAGGTGATTCGTCCGGTTATCAATATCTGAGGTGATTCGTCCGGTCGTCAATATCTGAGGTGATTCGTCCGGTTATCAATATCTGAGGTGATTCGTCCGGTTATCAATATCTGAGGTGATTCGTCCGGTTATCAATATCTGAGGTGATTCGTCCGGTTATCAATATCTGAGGTGATTCGTCCGGTCGTCAGTATCTGAGGTGATTCGTCCGGTTATCAATATCTGAGGTGATTTGTCCGGTCGTCAGTAGCTGAGGTGATTCGTCCGGCCGTCAGTATCTGAGGTGATTCGTCCGGTCGTCAATATCTTAGGTGATTCGTCCGATCGTCAGTATCTGAGGTGATTCGTCCGGTTATCAATATCTGAGGTGATTTGTCCGGTCGTCAGTATCTGAGGTGATTCGTCCGGTCGTCAATATCTTAGGTGATTCGTCCGATCGTCAGTATCTGAGGTGATTCGTCCGGTTATCAATATCTGAGGTGATTTGTCCGGTCGTCAGTAGCTGAGGTGATTCGTCCGGCCGTCAGTATCTGAGGTGATTCGTCCGGTCGTCAACATCTGAGGTGATGAGGTGATTCGTCCGGTTATCAGTATCTGAGGTGATTCGTCTGGTCGTCAATATTTGAGGTGATTCGTCCGGTTATCCATATCTGAGGTGATTCGTCCGGTCTTCAATATCTGAGGTGATTCGTCCGGTCGTCAGTATCTGAGGTGATTCGTCCGGTCTTCAATATCTGAGGTGATTTGTCCGGTCGTCAATATCTGTTATTACTGTGCAAGATGTCAGTTTTCCGGACTTTTTTTCTGTCATCTTCGTGGGAAAATGTCTTCAAATTTAGCGTGTAGCTTAATTATAAAATTGGATAGAGCAATTTCTACCACAATTATCGTTCCTCAACAGTCACAATAGAGTGTGGTACAGCAATGCATTCTGGGATATATTGGGGTTATAGATCTTGTTCACAGTAAATAAATATAGGTATAAGTGGAGTTATCGCCCTTCGCACTAACAGTATTGTGCAAAATGGCAGTTTGCAAGACTCTTTTCAACATATCGAGGATTCATTAAACTTTCTCTCGACCTCTGGACGCTAGAAATATCGCTCTCAGAGGTTCAAAAATTCTC